GCACTTGAGACGGCATACCAATTAACATACTGTGATAAAAAGCTGTAATAATTTAAACTAGTCCACTGAATTCGTTATACAGAGTGGATTAATACATATATAGCTTTGTATGGAAACCTAAATTTTCTTCGTAATATAGTTTCGCTATAGGGAGTTTTCACTGTATTATAATCGTCCTAGAAGCAAAATAAGAAAATTGGCAATAACAGACAGAATAAAAACGTTCTAACGTGAACGCTAGTGTAGGATCGCAAACACTTTAGACGTAAAAACCATGTCATCCACGCCCCGTGGGAGTAGCGGAGGAGTAAACCACGCCCCCGTAAGGCGTGGCCGATAAGCAAACCGCTCCCATTGGCCCACCCATTGCAAAAAGGATCCAATGATGGTTAGATAGTTAACTTTTCAATTGCTTTTGCAGGTTTGAAGGTGATTCCAAGGTCAAATCGCGTCGCCCAAAGTCCGACTCTTTCGCCCCTAAATTCTTTTAAGCGAGAGGGGGCGGGGTTTCGAGGTACTCGGAAAAATCGGTAAATGCGGACTTGAAAAACGCACCCCACCTGTCCGGCAGCGTCGCGCCGGAAATAAGGGTTGAACGAGCCGGTTCCGGGGTGCGGAAGCGCGCGAGTGGCTCCCTCTAAGCAAATACGGCAAGGTGGAGTGGTTCCTCGCCCGACCCCGCGTCGCGTAAACACGTGTTTTCGTGTGTGGGAGTTTGAAAGTTCGCGACAGCGGCGCGCCGCTTCGTAGTCCCGCGGGAACGCGTTTTAGGTAAATTTTTGAGGCAGCTCCTCGAAGAACTCAAAGTTCAAATTTTGCGTAGTGGTGATACTAAACAATATCTGCAACAACTATTCAAAGTAATTGGAAGAAATAGTCCAAATATAAACTGGTGCAAAATTTTGGAAGAAAGGTCCTCAGATAATAAAATTAAAGCAGTTGAATTCAAAAAACAAAAAACAATCTTAAGATCCCATGGAGAGCTAGGTTGACAAATGAAGAGATTGTTGAAAACCTCAATAAAAACCTCTAGCTCCGCAACATTATGAAGAAGAAGAATAATGCCTATCTCAACTGCAACCGATCATCGGAAGAGGATTGGGACGGAAGATGTGAGGCGACATACAATGTAGTCGCAAACAGAAGAAAGAAAAGAAAAAAGAAAGACGAAGAAGAAAATACTGGAGAGGTTGCAGATGATCCAGAACATTCCGATTAGTTGTAACTGAAGAGGTTAGATCGTATCTCTGGGAGCTCGCAGTAACTCGCCTGATCTCAAAGAAATTGTCTTCTATTGCGATGAAAGTCAGTTGCCGGACGCGCAGTAGATCGAACTACGTCATACCAACGCAAAGAACAGCCCAATACTTCTTGGAAATGGAAAATGTAATCGCAACTATCTTTAAATGGATCTGTAAGGAACAAGAGGATACTATTCACAAATCTTCTGGATTCCTTCGTTCAGTTTGAACAGTTAAGTTTCAGTTAAGCTCTGAAAAGGCCAACAGGATTATGGGCGAAACGTCATCAAGTCAGGAGGAATCCAGAAAATTGGGAAATAATATTATATTACAAAGTTTCTTTGAAAAATTATTTCAAAAGAGGAGAACTTGCTGATGATCCAGAACTGCTGTATTCGATTTGGCTATAACTTAAAGAAATTCTCTATCTCTATGAGCTCGCAGAGACGAAGAACGACGTGAGGAGCAATTTACTACATTAATGTGCAGTATTTTAAAATACGGTAGACCACATGGGCCACCTCCAGCCATAGAGGTATTAGGAAATTCCTATCGACATCTTCATTCAAGGGACATGTTACCTCCCGTGTGAAAACCGAAACTTCTCATATAGATTTATTTTTGTATATCCGGTGCAGTAGTTACGTGGGAGAGCAGTTATTTGGAACATGTTAAAATATTTGTTGAAGGCCCCTTTTTTGATTTGATTTAGCAACCAGCCCTTAAGTATAGGCAACGAGCGTGGAATATATCATTTCTGGAAGCAGTTTAAAAATAATAGTATTTATTTCGCAACAAAGTAATACAGAAAGTCATACACAAATTTCCCAGCCTTATGGTTGGAAAAGAGGAGCTGAAAACAAATACAAGTTCAACCCCTAGACACCGAAAGTAACACTCAATGGGATACCTGCACATTATGTCCGACCCCTACGCGATTAACGAAAAAGTTTTCTACAGTTGGGAAGAAAAATAGTATACAAGGAAAAATTAAAAAAAGTCTAAGTCCATATCGACGTCCCACATCACTTTTCGTTTCTCCCTGTTCTATCTCCCGAATTAAAGCAACTTTCGGCCTACATTCCTTACTTTGTTACTTGATATGCCCTTTTTTCTTTCGGCATGGAGACCTAATAGTACATCAGATTTTTAGTTTTACGTTATACAGAGTTTCGCTATAGAGAGTTTTCACTGTAATAAAAAACTTAACAAAAAAAAAATAAAACAATAAGATGTTATCTCCCAAATATACACAGCAAATAGAAGAGGCCCAATGATTGAACCTTGTGGAACACCACACGTAATTGTCATTCTTTCTATCGAAAAAGGTAACCAAGCGGGTTTTTTATATTTGATTTTTACTTTAAACAATAAATCGAAAATATTTACCAAAATGTAGTTTAATATCTTAACCTTTTTCTTAACTGAAATTATAGGCGATATCGGTAAAAAATTATTTGCCTTTACCGTCTTACCGGGTTTAGTTATTAAGTTAAATTGTGACGAGCCGCCGCTGCCCCGCCGCGCGCCCTTAATTACACGGCGCTGGCTTATTTTTGACAAGTGTATTTAGCGGTTAATAATAACTCGTTTTCGACGTGAGGCCCCCTCCTATAATTTCAATTAAGACACGACGAGGCGGTTATTAGAAAATCATTTGCCAAGCGGTCGGATCAAAAATTTAAACGATCATGTCGGTTAATACGTCTTTAATTGGTAGGCCTCGTTTCTAACTTTTTTTGGGGGGCGACGGTTAACTAGCGCTCGCGTGTACAGCGCGTTAACTAGGCGCTGGCGTCTCACAAACCATGACAGATGGAAGATCAAGCTGGCAAAATTTTACGCAAAAGTATAGCTTGTACCAAATGCAATCAAGAACAACAACGTACCGATTTCACATTAGATTTTGAAAGTAGTGCTACCAACTGATGGGTTTTAGGTTAGAGGTTTGTGTTCTGTTGTTAAAAAATTGAACATGGAAATTTTTAACCTCTCAACAAGATATTTTTTTGATTGGAAAGGGCAAATTATAACCTACAAAATCGTTTTTTTTTTACCTTATTCGCGCTAAATTTATAAAGCTCCAATAATAATGGAGGACCTTAACGAGCTTGCGCATTGACATAATATTATCAGTGTCCATCGCATTCAACAACTTGTGCAGTCTATCTTTGAGGCTTTGCTGTTTTCTTTCGTATCTTTTTCTGTTTGTTGGCTCATATTCCATCACCGTCTTCAGCCAAATTTAAGATTTCATCCTCCTTACCACAACAGATGCTTTGTTTTGACTATATCTGCGCTAGTGATTATTACTATTAGTGTCCGTCTTATTTCCCTATTCCCATATATCATTTTGTTGCTTATTTGGTTTTATTGAGTTTAGTGTATCCTCCCTCGCTGTGCTCTGTTTGGTTTCGTAAGTTTTTATTTCAACTTCTTTAATTTTATTCTCCTATTTTTAGATACTCCACATTTCTGTCATTGCCATTCCAAAATAGATCAAGTGCACTGCTTTAATAACCATTATTTGATACGTAGTGTCGTCAGTTATTAAAAACTTACATTTATAGTTCTCCTCTACTTAAAAAGTCAATTTCATTTCTTCCAAGTAATAATACTAGGATAATGAACGATTTATTTTACCTACCCATTTGAGGTTACAATTCAATGTTATGGTCCGAGTTATTTCGTCACGGATGAGTGACAAAACCCCATAGGTCCCAGAAATGATTTATACATCGGCACGTAACGTCATCAGGTATCTAGCCAATCACGATCCGTACATCTAACGAAACGCAACTGTTTTCTCTATTCTGCAACGCATAGCGTTCCCCAAGTCCCACGCCGACGACAAAATAAAACAAAATTGCCGGCAATACCATCTCCGCCCTGGCCGAAAACAATTACCCGCGTAGTATCGGTTGCCGCCGCCCCTTTCCCGCCGCCCGCTCCTCCGTAGACCAATAAAAGAATGGCTCCATTCTTTCGCCGCAAGGGGTAGTAAAAAACCGGTGAATATATTTTGTGTAATTGCGCCCCATAAGTCGGCTTTATTATACTTGCTAGGGGGGCGGGCGGCGGCAGTATAAGACTGCGCTGCCGTGTTAGGGGCCCCCTGGGGCTCGCCGGGGGGGCACGTGAGCGCGCAGTTATTTTCGGAACGCTATCGCTACGGGCAGCGGCGTCCTCCGACCGTGCTGATAGTCCCCGCCCGTGACGTCACGTTTCGGCCCGGCTCGCAAGCGGCGCGGCGAAAATTCGCGGGCGCCGCCACTGCCCGCCACCGAATAATTTTTCAAGATGCCCGCGTTGTGTGCCGTAATGCTTCCTAGAGATGTTATTCTCCCGTAAAGAATGGCCGCGAGGAACAACGCGGCTGTTTAGAATTTTTGCCGCGTCTCGCCCCCGTTTGATATATTTTTATGCCCGCCGCGTCTCTATTTCGCTCACCGCTTTATTGCGAGGCGAACATAATGGTAGGCTGCGCCCGAAGGCGCATATTTCAACGAGATCGGGGACGAACTCGAGCGCAAATTGCGTTAATTAAAATGCCTTGCGATTTAAACGTTTCATAATTAAGAGTATCATTGCATCGCCCACGTGTTGTACTAGCGCCATCTGCACGCCGCGAGCTTCGTTGTTTCTGTCCAGACACGGATGAATTTTATAAGAAAAACCGCTGGCATAAGGTTACTTTCATGCTGTTCTGTGCGCCCTCTAGTTGCGACGAGGTGAAGGTCGCGCAAGCTGGGCCAGAATGGCGTGTGACGCGGTCGGGTTAGGTTTCGCTTTCGGGTATTTTAAATGCGTTTCGCGCACGTTGCGTAGGACGCGTGTGTCGACGGATTTAATGGAAGATTCCGCCGTTTTGACGTCGCCACGTTAAGTAAATGGTAAGTGTTTAAAATCGGTTTTAATTAAAATTCGTGTGCGGCCTTCGGCTCCTAGATAGCGCCAACGTGCCCCGTCCGACCACACAACCTATAATAAATTTGACGTAATCTCAACAAAACCGATGCAACGTTTAAATAATAATCCTTGTTCAAGCAACGTTAATACCTTAAAGATGCCACGACGGTTACGTGGCGATCGCGATGAGTTTTAGTCGCTGAAAACGTTTAACCATGTCGAGGACGCAGCAGGAAGAGCTGAACGAGCACAGCGTCTTCGTGCGGAAGATATTATCCGCGCTGTTTTACGCGGTCGCGTCTTTCATGATAACGGTGGTGAATAAAACGGTGCTGACCAGTTACGGGTTCCCGTCGTTTCAAGTGTTGGGCATCGGGCAAATGGTGGCGACGATCCTGGTGCTCTTCGCAGCGAAAAAGCTAAAGATAGTGTCGTTCCCTGGCTTCGAGCTCGGCACCTTCGGCAAGATATTCCCGTTGCCGCTCATATTCGTCGGCAACATGATTTTCGGACTCGGCGGCACCAAAGAGCTAAGCTTGCCCATGTTTACCGCCCTGAGACGCTTCTCCATACTGATGACGATGATTCTGGAGCTGTACATTCTCGGAGTGAGACCAAGCGTCAGCGTACAGTTTAGCGTCTACATGATGGTGTTCGGTGCCGTGCTGGCCGCTTGCAACGACCTCGCCTTTAACCTCCAAGGTTACGTGTTCGTGCTGCTGAACGATTTCTTCACCGCCACCAATGGGGTTTACATGAAGAAGAAGCTCGAGTCGAAGGAACTCGGCAAGTACGGCCTGATGTTTTACAACTCGCTGTTCATGCTGGTACCCGGGTTGTTCCTGGCCTTTTACACCGGCGACCTGGAGGCGGCGTACCACTTCGGCGACTGGCTCGAGCCCCTGTTCCTAGGCCAGTTCCTGCTCAGTTGCGTGATGGGTTTCGTGCTGTCCTACAGCGTAATACTGTGCACGATGTACAATTCGGCACTCACCACCACCATAATCGGGTGCCTTAAGAATATCTGCGTGACGTATTTGGGGATGGTGATCGGAGGCGATTACATATTCTCGTGGTTCAACTTTGTCGGGCTCAACATCAGCGTCGTCGGCAGTCTGGTGTACACTTACGTTACGTTTAAGGTGAAAGACGCTGGCGCCACCTACGCGCCGCTCAGCAGCGACAAACCGACCACCGTCGTATAGTACAAAATATTGTAGTCGGCCGTGCTCAAACGTCGGACGCTACCAATCTAGTAACTGTGGTGTGAAGTGAGTGACATTTAGGAAATTTTAACGGATACTCGCGTCGTTTGCCCAAAGGTAACGCGGTAACGAGAAAAAGTGGTGCCGCCCACCGTATTTTCCTAAAGGCCGTGCCATACTTTGTACATACTACGTAAATATACCGTGCCGAGTGTTTTTAGCGGCGTTTACAGTGCCAGTTTATTCGAAAAAGCTGTGTGTTTCACGTCGAAAGTGCAATATTTATATATATATTTAGTTGTCTGTCCCAGTCGAATGTGCCTGTGATTCAATAAAAAAAAAAAACATCGAAACGCGAGTGGTTTTATTTTTCAATTTTCGGGCGACGACGGCCGTCTTCAAGCCATGTAGGTACGATACAACTTCTACATGTATTTTTTTATGTAAATTGGCGAGTAAATTAACCTGCATTGAAATTGCTTTGAGGTGCTAGATGCTATATAAGAACAATCGCAGTAGCCAAAGTTTAGCACGAAGTTTCTTTTCTTTTTTGTTACTTTTACGAGTATTGTGGATTCCTACTGTGTCGGTTGTTGATGCATCGAACTTGCTAACGTTTCGCCAATAATCCTATTGCCTTCTTCAGAGCTTGACTGAAACTGGCTCGCGTTCTATTCTGTACCTGCTTATACAGAGTGTTTCAAAACAGAAGCGATTATTTGTTCAAAATAAAATGTAGTAATGTTTTCATATAGTTATAGTTCTAATTGGTTGTTGAATATACTGTTTAAGATTTAACCCCAGCTAGTTAGACCGCACATGCATTCCATGTTGCATATATTGTACTGAAAGGTATTTTAGCGGTATCTACTGAGAACATTTATCAATTATCTTCCAAAAAATTACATTTTAAAAATAATGTATTAATAAACATTTCTGAAACAGGACAAGCTTCCAAGGAATTTCTTGAATATTCGCGCGTACATTAAATGCATATCTGCCATTTTTTCATTAGTGTTATTCACCATTCATAATTAAAACCCTTATTAATGAATAATTAAATGATTACATAATATTTTTTTAAATGTCAAATAAAACTAGATTTGTTTATCTAACAAATTTTGTTTGTTTATTTTTAAATAAAGAAGGTATTTTTTAATTCAATTATAATGTCTTTTAATAGCAATACTTCCGTAATATTTTCTTTTTTACGATAAAAAAAAATACAAATATTTTTTGACCCAGGGTTTATATGATAACCAACCGTTCATTTTACTTTTCGCATTTATCTTGAAACACCCTGTATATTGTTTGAGGGACGCGGAGCTTCGCGCTAAAATGAAAAGTTTTTTTTTTTGAGAAAGAATACAACACGCGCAGTCGAATAATTTTATTTATAAATGCGGGAACTCGCCGTATATAATATGTACAAAAGTGGAAAATATAAATATATCGCTATATGTATATATACACTACACACCCGTTAGGGAGGCCCGAGGAGTCTACGAAGTGGCAACACCGCGTCACGCTTCCTGCGAGCTCGGTAAAGTGTAACGTACCGGCTGTATCAAATATTTTTAATTATTTTTTTTTATTATACTTTATTTTATTTTACTCCAGGGTCCTTCCCCACGGGCGTTTGTTTCGGGGCACTACGTGTTTTAAAACGTCTAGAATTAAACGAGGGGCAAATCACCACCGAAAGTTGGTACACCGGATTTCACTAATCATAAAATTTCACATCTTTTACGGATTTTAGATTTCACAGATTTCTAAATGATTCTTTAATCAACTTTAAAAAATTACTAAAGGAAATAAATACGTATAAATAAAAATATAAATTTTCTAAATATCAAGTCAATTATATTTTTATTTATTTTTTCTCTTTTCCTTCAAATTTAATTAAGTAATTTTATTTTTAAAAACGGGCACGTTCAATACATTTAGTTAGAAATTTCGACAATTATTAAAAAAAAAACATCGCAAATATTTTTTCTCAAATTGAAAAAACTTAAAAAATAGCAAGTGAATTTTCTCATTTTCCAATATTTCTCTAAATTGGGTAGGGCGCAACTAAGGCCAACCCACTGCAACCAAGACCTTGGAAATACTCATCTAATCACAAAATTTGATGATTTCACGAATTTCACAGGGATAGTACACCAGATTTCGCAGTTTGGGTTTCATAGATTTTACGGATTTTATCCATTTTGAGAAATAATTTTTTTTGTTATCTGTTATATTATTCATAATAAAAAATACGCTTAAAAGTGTGAAATGATATTATGGGTATTCAGCGTTAAATAAATAAATATTAATTTTATAAAATCCATAGATTTTCAAAACGGACATGGCAATTATGTTTTAGAATTTAAATAAAAATTCAATGTTTATGACTTTATCTTCCGCTTTATATATTGAAAAATTTCACAGATTTCACGAATTTCACTAAGATGGTATATCAGATTTGACATTTCCATTTGGAAAAATAATTTGTATATTAAATAATAAAAAATTACTAAAGCAATTTTTTTTTAAATGCTTAAAACCTCTTTTGAAAAAGTAGGAAAACGTATTATCGACAATTAGCGTTGTGCGAATGTGAATTTTATAAATTTCAATTATAACTTGAAAAATGCCAAGTGAAATTATTTCACAGACATGGTGCACCAGATTTCACACATCCATAAATGTTTTATATTATCTGTATATTATCAGTATTCAGCATTAGATGAATAATTACAAATTGTGTATATTTTTTTTCAATTTTTCTCTTTTCCTTCAATTTTAAATAAGTAATTTTATTCATGGAAATGGACACGTTTAACACATTTAGCTAGGAATTTCAATGATTATTTGGAAAAAAATATCGGAAATATATATATATTTTTTTTAATGGAAGCCACATATTTTTTATGACCTTATCTTACGTCTAATAATCTCAAGACGACTGTATTGTAGATTTAAACAAAAAATCTATTTTCTTTGAATTGATTTTGTTCAAAGAAACTGACACGTTGAAATATACATTTAGTTAGGAATTTCGATGATTATTTAAAAAAAGGAGTTTTCGATTTCCGATATTTCTCAAAATTGGTTTGGGTGCAACATTGGCAATAGCCGTTTAATCACAAAACTGAGAGGGTGGACCAGATTTCACGCGCGATCTACCCCTAGCAAATAAATAACCGGGCGACGTACAGCAACTCCTAAACTAAACCTAGGCTAAATCTTTGGCTCGTGACTGGCTTGAAACGCGACCCCCCTCCATCACTCTTTGGACGGTAGCACGAGGACGACCCCCAGGTATACGTCAACACGCGTCCTTGCGTCGCACTCGCATCTCGCTCTCCGCGACCGCTATCCACTCGTTGCGCGCCGAGTCGAACCACGTCAGCCCCAGGTTGTACCTGCCGTTGAGATTCGCGTGTTGACAATGCGAGTACCACCATCCGCCTTCGTAGTTGCTCGCGCAGTGCGTGTTGGAGATGTCGCGGTCGTTGTCCACCGTCGAGAACTCCATCCGGTTCTGGTAGTCCATCGCGTCGCTCGCGTTCCCCGCGTAGCCGCCCACGGCGATCCTGTAACCGTCCTCGTAGCCGGCCACCCGAAAGTCGGAGTACGTCGCCTGCCAGTACCCACCGTAGATGTCTTTCATGTTCACCTGGAGCGCGGAGCAGTTGTCGACGGTGAGACGGTGCAGGTTCCTGTTGCCCAGCCAGTGTTCGCCCGTCGCCGACCCGAACCCGGTACCGTAGTCGTTCCAGTCGCGGTTAAAACTGACGGTACCGTCGTACCTCTTCTGCACGGTGGTCCAGCCGGAGTCGCAACGCGCCAAGATGGGTTCCGCGTCGCCCGGCGCGATCAGGTACACCCCCGACGGGCCCTCGACCGATCCGCAGTCCCTCGGCAGCTTGTTGACGATGCTCTTGTACTCGCTCTCGAAAGATCTCAACTCCTCCACCAGCCTGACGGTGCTCTTGGTCGCGTTCCCGGCGTCCAGCTCGGACTCCTCCTTGAGGATGTGGTCGTGGAGGCGAGAGTGCTGCGTCGCGGTCGCCTTCTCCAACGCCACCAGGTGATCGGCGACGCGACGCAGCTCCTCCCTGTCCGCCGAGGTTTTGACCTGCAGCTCCGAGACGGAGAATCCGATCGCTTTGAGCGACTCCCGGACGTTGCGTCGCTCCTCGGCGCCGGCGGCGACGTCCGCAGCCGCTTGCGCCACCTGCACCTCCACCTTGGAGATTTCCTTGCGAAATTCCGGAACCGTGCGGTCCAATTTGGTCTCGACCAGTTCGACGTTCTCGAGGAGTTCGAGCATCGAACTGCGCAGCTTGTCCACGTCGATTTTCTGCGCGGTGAGGTTAGCGAGAGGCACCGTCTGCTCCAGGCGGTCCACGCGCGACTTGAGAGCGTAGTTTTCCTTGTGCAGGGTCCTGGCGCTCTTGTCCAGGTACTGCAGGTGACGGCGTACCGTTTTGTGGTGCCGGCCGCGCGGGGGGGCGTCGTCCACGGGCGGCGCGAGGGGTCGTCGCTCGGATCGCAAGGCGCGGATCTGAAACGAAGGACATGCGGGTAGAAAGGAGGCAGGTGGTCGTCTCGGCCGACCACCTGTCCCGACGTGCCGACACACTGCTCGGATTTGGGTCGTCGTTATATACAGGCCGTCCAATTAATTAATTAATTAATTGGGTCCTTGCATATATTTAAAATTCGAAGGAAAGGCTTAAAAAGTGTCTCCCTGAAATATTTTTACCACAAGCACCATATTAACGTCATAGTATACTTGGACCAAATATATAGTGCTTTTACAACGGACCCCGTGATTAACTTTACCTAATGTTTATTAGTCCAAAACCAGGACCGTCCTAGAGAGATATAAGTATGTTTTTAATCTTTTTAAAATAGTACGAAGTCACAATTCATTACGTTCTTTTTCATAACATTTCTACATAGTATCATTATCAACATACAAAATATTAAATATGATAATAATAAATTATCAAGTCGAATCGAATGATATATTTAACGTCTCTGTCAATTTTCAGCTCTATGTGAATTTTGCCCAAGTTTTGACTTACTTTTATCTATTTTGCTTGGATTACATACAGATCTATGGACAAGCCACATCTCGAATTCAGATAGGAATGAACATATCGCAAAAATTTCAAGTCTCCAAAGGCCTTAAGAAAATGGAGAAACGCATGGAATTAAGATGGATAAGAGTGGACGAACAAGAAAAGAAATAGGAGACCGAATAGTGAAGGGGAAAAGAGTCAAGGGATGTCTCAACTTTATTAAACTTAACTTAAACTTTATTAATTTAAACTTATATACGATGCTATATTTAAAAGCATAGTCCTTTGTGACTACGAAACATGGCAACTAAACAAAGCCTTGGAAAGAAGACTTCTGGCGCAGAGCAGCCGACAAGTCAACGATGGATCGAGTAAACAACCAACGAATAAGGGCAATCATGGACTCGCAACTACAATTTATATGGTACGGCCACGTAGAGAGAATGGGTGAAGAAAGATTACGAAAGCAAATTCTAAAATGGACATCCACAGGAAGAAGGAAAAAGGGAAGACCTAAGATCACGTGGCTAAACGGAATGCGCCGAGCCATGTCAGAAAGGATTCTACAACCAGGAGACTGGGAAGATCCAAAGGAATGGAAACTGGGAACCGAAGACTTAGGACGCTATAGAACCGCTAGTTTATTGGGGCTCACCTCGTTTCTCATGTCGCCGTTTTCGGCCGCCATCTTCTTCCATTCGGCCCTGAGGGCGGCGAACTCCTCCCTCATCGTCAGCAGGTCCGCTTGGTACTTGGCGTTTTGTCTGCGTACCGCCTGAAGTTCGCGGTTCAGCGTCGAAACGTCGGTCTCGAAGAGAACGAGACGCGCGTCGACCCGCTCGCGGTTTTCCAAGATGGCGGACGAGTTAAGGGACGCCTGGAACTCGGCCACTTCCGTCTTGAGTTCCGCCACCGCGTCCGACAGCCATTTGGTGGTCAGCTTCTCGTTTGTCGTTTGTGTTGGGACCTGGGGAGCCGAGCCAGAACGCAACTGGTCGATCTCCAACCTGCGGGAAACGATTAGGTCAACCAACCGGCAAATTGGACATTATGGGGCGCGGTATTCAATTTCGGTGCCCCCCCTCCCCCCCCCATGTAACTGGATACTTGCGGGGGGCGACAGATGATATTTACCCACGCACACACCTTAATACTTTTTGGCGAATGCAAATCGGAAGCCATTTACCCCCGCGGGTGGAAGCGGGGGGGTCAGTCGGGCGGAAAATCGTTTTCGTTTTTCCACGCTTTTCCAGTTTCCATTTAATTTTAAACGGGCATTAATTTGATTTTGGCGAATAATTTACGTTATTATCTAAACGATCCACGATCAGAACGGATATCGGAACATTCTAAGGGATAATAAAGCCGAATACTATAACTATACGCTATCTCAGCAAGAGCGTTTTCGCGAACCTTTGGTAGTTTTCTGTGAAACAAAAGAGGGCGTTCACAACATTTTCACGACTTGCTAGGTTCTTAAAATACAGGGTGATTTTGGACATTTGAAGGTTTGTGGCACCCCTAGTATCTCGGGTATCCTATGAAACGTCGGAAAGATGAAAAGTGCATTCGATATAGATTTTTTTGCGTGCTTTAAGTATAGTCCCCCTGTAACTTTAAACTTTGAATCGTTATATACAGGGTGTCCAAATAGAGTGTCAAAGAAAAATGTTGATATATATGAGATAAATATACCGGCACCTTCGTAAATATGTGGGAAATTACACTTATATTGTATGTATCTAACAATATCACAAAAGACACAATAAATATTACCTGAACGTGAGAAGTCTACAGAGAATTAAGTAAATTTTTTCCAGATAATAACTAATAATTAACTCCGAGATTTAAACCAAAATAAAATTATGAACTGCGCAACTTTGGGAAAACGATTTAAACAGTATTTTACGCCGGGGATAATATTAAAAATGCAATATTAATATTGCCGATACTTTCAGAAAAAAAAACGCATTAAAACTATGAACGAAACTGCAAAACAAAAAAGAATTGTTTAATTAAGTTAATTTATTGCACGAAATGTCTCCCACCGACTTCGATAATAATAATAATAATAATAATCATAAACACATGATAAACAGAGATTTGCACTGAAAGACGCGACCTCAAAAAACATTATTTTATAGTTCAGTAATATTTTTGCTTCAAGAAAGACAGAATTGTTTTTTTTTAATTATTTCGACATTTTATTTGGACACGTTGTATATTTTATATATTAATCAATAAATTTTGGAAAATAATACGCTCCTGACTTTCCTGGTGTAAACGAATCTAAATATCACATTATTTTAACACACTATTTGGACACCCTGTATATATTATATATTAATCAATAATTTTTGGAAAACAATACGCTACTGAGTTTTTTAGTTTAAACGATTCAAAATATCACATTGACTGGAAATAATGATTTTTTAAATTACTATTAAAACTATTTGGACACCCTGTATATATTATATATTAATCAATAAATTCTGGAAAACGATACGCCACTGACTTTTTTTAGTTTAAATGAGTCTAAATTGTCACATTGTCGGAAAAAAAAAGATTTTTTAAATTACTTTTTCGGGAAAGGAAAAAGACTTTTTTAATTACTTTTGCGCACTATTTGGACACGCTGTATATATTATATACTAATCAATACATTTTGGAAAACAATACGCTACTGATTTTCTTAGTGTGGACGAGTCTAAATATTCACATTTTCGGGGGGGAAAAAAGATTTTTTTTATTACTTTTGCAAACTATCTGGACACCCTGTATATTATTATATATTATATATTAATCAATAAATTTTGGAAAACGATACGCTCCTGACTTTTTTAGTTTAAACGAGTCTAAATTGTCACATTGTCGAGAATAAATTGATTTTTTAAATTACTTTGAAACACTATTTGGACACCCTGTATATATTATATATCAATCAATAAATTTTGGAAAACGATACGCTACTGGCTTTTTTAGTTTAAACTAGTCTAAATTGTCTCATTATCGGGAAAAAAATGACTTTTTTAATTACTTTAACTATTTTGACACCTTGTATAAATATTATATATTAATTAATAAATTTTGGAAAACATTGTCAGGATTTTTTTTATTACTTTGACACACTATTTGGACACCCTGTATATATTGTATGTTAATCAATAAATTTTTGAAAACGATTCGCTACCAACTTTCCTAGTTCAAACGAGTTTAATTCTCGAGAAAAAAATGATTTTTTCTATTACTTTGACACAGTATTTGGACACCTTGTATATTTTATATAATCGATAAATTTTGGAAAATGATACGCTACTGATTTTCCTCGTGTAAATGAGTCTAAATATTCACATTGTCAGGAAAAAAAATGTTTTTTTTTCATTTGGACACCCTGTATACATTATATATTATTCAATAAATTTTGGCAAACGATACGCGCTAATGACTCCTAATGTAAACGAGTGTAAATATTCACATTGTCCGGAAAATTGGATATTTTTTATTCGCAATTTTCAAATGACTTTTTGACTTAACGGCCGTTAAATTTTTGAGTTCTTATTAATTTCTAAACGAATTCAGCCTCTCCTCCGATTTGCCACTTTGCCCCGTCCCCCGAGTCCCAAAAAAAGCCTACCTCAGACTGTTCACCTGGTCCCGCAGCTCCTCGACCTCGGGCCCTTTGAAGACGATCTTCCTCACGTTCTCCTCGATGTTCCGCAGGTCTTCGGTGCGGCGCTCGACTAGCGCTTTCACCTGCTTACTCAACACTATCAGTTCGTCATCTTTCGGAACGCCCTGTACACGGACAGCGTTCAGACTCGCGCACGCCACCAATATCGCTAGAAGGCGCATCTTTGATCTCGCGTTCTCGAAACGTCGGACGCACTGGCGATACGCGTCAGGCCCCAAAACGGTTTTATACGAACGCGAGGGGCTTCGTGCGCCTGCGCGCAGGTGTTTGGCGCAGGTGGCGCGTCCCGCACGGGGTGGTTTAGTCCGGGGTTCGATGATCCGAAAACGGCGCGGCGCGTTTTTCGAAAATTTGAAGCCGATTTTATTATCTGAAGTTGGTTTCATAATATTTTATAAAAATTTAATGTCGTTTCGTGGAGTTTGCTCTATAAAAAATAGACGTTCGATGAGGCAGTAGGCAGGAAATACACTTTCTATGGAGTGTTGCAAGATGATTCCCAAATTGAAGCCGATTTTATAAAAATCCTAATCTATATGAATTGAAGTCGGTTTTATAACAATGCACGCAACACGAGACATAAATTTCAATATAAGGCGAAGACGTTTTTATAGCAATGGGACCGGATATTGGAGACTTGTTGAAGTCGATTTTATAAAAGCGGAAGGTTTTTCCGTTTGTTCTACGCGAGCCTAGAAATATAAGTTCTGTGGGGCCTAGCAAGAGGAATCAAAAATTGAAGCCAATTTTATACAAAATCGCAGTCTATATAAGTTGAAGTCTGTTTTATAACAACCCGGTACGATGCACGTAACACTAGAGATAAACTTCGATGTTAGGCGAAGCCGTTTTTACGGAAATGGAAGCCGATATTGGAGAATTTACACGTGTTGAAGTCGACTTTATAAAAGCGGATTATTTTTTCGTTTGTTCTACGCAAGACTAGAAATATAAGTTCTATGGGGCGTAGCAAGAGGAATCAAAAATTGACGCCGATTTTATAAAAAATCTAAGTCGATATGAGTTGAAGTCCGTTTTATAACAACCAGTACAATCGATATTAGGTGAAGCGTGGAAATGCGACCCGATTTTGAAGAATTTAGATACGTTGAAGTTGATTTTATAAAAGTTGAAGTGGCGTCGTAAGGGTGAAGCACCTCCAAGAAAATTCAGAGTCTGCCAGTCAATAAAAAAGGTGATGGCCACGATCTTTTGGGATTGGGAATTCTTTTGATAGATTTTAAAGAAACTAATACCACTGTCAATGGTAAATATTACGCAACATTATTAAATAAATTGCGAGACTGCATACATGTAAAACGTCGAGGAAAACTGACCAGAGGCGTGCGTCCTTTGCACGATGCACCTGTCCATACTGCTGGTGTTGCACATGCTGGCATTTTAGAGTGTGGGTTCCAACAGATAGATCATCCTCCCTATATTGAATCGTAGTGATATACGTTGAAGTTAGTTTTTATAACAACCAACGACGCAATGATCGTGACATGGGAGAGCAGTTCGGGAGAATGAGAAAAATGAAAGCCAGAGAATTCGGTGTTACGGTGGGAGAATTTTAAAAATTGAAGCCAATTTAAAAGTTGAAGTCTATTTTATAAAAAGCCTAGTAGATGTAAGTTGATGTGCTTGACGCAATAGATGAAATTCATGTTACGGCGGTATGTGAAAAATTGGAAGCCGTGTTTATACAAATGGAAGGCGATTTTGGAGATGTTTTGTACGTTGAAGTCTATTTTTATAAACACTAAAATGCGTGGAGTTTAATCTACCAAACAAACGTTACGATAAGGCGAGTCAAGTCTTGTAGACAAAGGAAACGAAGATTGACAGCGATTTAAGAAAAATCGTTATCGATATAAGTTAAAATCGATTTTATGTAAGTCGAGTGGCTTTCTATGGGATCTACTCGAACGACATTCGATTTGCTGGAGTAATAAGAAATTTTGCATGACAAATAGAGGGAAAACAGTTTATAGTTGACTTCAAGTCGATTTCATCCAAGACTTTTTGATTCGAAACGGAAACTTCACAATTTTAGAGATAAAAAATGATTTTTTCTTGCTTATGTGTGTATTTATTAGGTTATATGTATATTAGAATTGTGTATATATGTCATAAAATGGAAACGGTATCAAATTGTATATATTTTCACAGGAATATATTAATATGTCGGGCGTACGAAGGGGTGTGTGCTAAGTTAGTCTTTCTCCCGCAATCCTTTCCGTTCTTTTGGCAGAACCACGATCCTTTTGTCACTCCGGACGCCTGACACACTTAAAACCGATGGAACGCGAGTCCGATCATGGCCGCCCGCGTTTCTTTTCAATGCACGCACACACGAGCGGCAGATGTTTCGACCGACAGGTAAATTTTCGTCCCTCCGCAGTCGGAATTCGGCCGATACGCACCGCTCGCGCGTAAAAATCCCCAGAACTCGGATCGGGCGGGCCCGGGGGCCCCCTTTATCCCGTTCCAACGTCTCGTTACCGTTCGCTGTGTCCGAAATCGGATCCGGCTCGAAGGACCACATCGTCGCGTGCGTCACGGAGACGGTTTCCTTTGTGTTTTCGAATAACAATAGACGCGCCGGAGATATTGGAGAAAAACGAGGACGGGGTTGATGAATTACTACGGTCGGAGGGGCGAGGGGGCGGGCGCCGGGGCGGTAGCGTAATAATAGCAGAGTCGGCTGGGAAAGCCAAAACTGATTTATTTAAAAAAACACCGATTTTATTAGGAAAAAAACATTCTATTAAAAAAGCAAGCCTACCCAAATGAGGTTTTGCCGAAATTTTAGCCAAAAACTGATGCAAATTTTATGCAAAATACAAAATGGAACCGGAATTTCAAAAATTGAAGTTTATGTATTTCAATTTGATGATGATTTCGTCTTACTTAAAATCGGTCATCGATATAAGATATAAGAATAGTAAATATCAGCAAATTTCGTTGTTTTTACATATACCTTCGGAGTAGAGTAGAATAGATATTTATTTACTAATACCAATATAACTAAGGAAAACAATCGCAATATGTCTAAATATTTTTAAAATTGAAAAACATAAAAAATATTATTTGGAATAAATACAAAATTTTTCTTGAAAAAGACCAACAAACAGAGAGCCAAATTGTGTTATGGAATACACTTTTTTTTTATTTTTATTCATATTATTCATGTTATTCATGTATTTTTTTTTACTGGAAGGTGTTTTTACTTGTTGAGTAAGAATGAATATCAGATCTTGTTTGAAAATTGTGTTTATTTTTATGTACATAAATTAACACCTTAATTGACAGTCAAGTTCTGCATCTAGAAACTGTGTATTAAGATGGGTGAAGAAAAACGTTAATTTTTTTTAGGATCTGACACGCAAAAACTAATTGCTAGTTACCTCTAGAAAGTACTTACCGCGTATGATTAATGGGTAGATTATAATCATATCTTTAAGCCAATTTTATTGATATTTTTTATAGGAAATTGGAGCCTCTACAAAAATATACATTTTTGATAAATCAAAGATATTCGAGGAAAAAGATCGAAGAATTTAAAGAAAAATGTTTTCAATTATTCTTATACAAACCATTTTGAAAATATTTGCATTGGCATCCCAATGGGTGCTTATATTCATTAAATTGGTGAGTTTTCACAGCATTCACGCAGTTGATTTTGATAAAATTACAGTTTTTAAAATATTTTTTACAATTTGTTTGGGAATCAAATTTCTAACTGTATTTTCTTTTATAATTTTATTTTATTCGCAATTGAGGATCATAATTGCATATTTATCAACGGGTTCATTTAAAATAAAGAAAAGAAACACGAAAGACCATTTCTGTAGAGCATTAAATTTCGTATAAGAATAATTAAAAACATTTCGCGATAATTATTTCTCAGTCACTAACAAAATTCGGAACAAAAATTATCGAATATATTTTATTCTTGTAATTAATTTTTTCGTGATGTTTGTTATTAAAATGATTTCATTCAACTCGTGGAAAAACTTCCCTCTGTGAAGGAATTATGTACTGGTTTTGACTAAAATAATTTCTGAATTCATTTATTGTGTCTTTTGCTGTAGTATTTTTATTAATTTTATTAGTATTCCCGGGGTCCCACACCGAGACATTCCAATAGTCTATGTTGTGGGCATTAAGAATATATGACAAAAATATATGCCTTTTTGCCCATATTTTTTTTGCAATCGTTTATGCCAGGTGATCAGAAGTGTTGGGAACTTTTTTGGACATCGACACTGTATCCTTCACGAAGTTTCATCTTTGATCGCTTCGTCCAAAAATGTTGTTAAATCTTCAAAATGGCGGCGGCGTACCGTGATTTTGTCTATAAATCTCACTTAGACCTTCCACTGAAGTAAATAAATTCATTTAAATTACTTAAAATAAAGATTAATAAAAAATCGATTTTCTAAATAAATTTTGATACCGCATGTCTCGAAAACGGAGCAAGTTACAAGATTTATTAGATTGCTTAATAGTATCTTTAGACCAAAATTATGTTTAATTTAATGGACATATTTGCATCTCTAAGGAAGATTTGATTATGGGAAACCCACTTAGTCCTTTGTTAGCCGAGATTTTTATGGATAATTTGAAAAATATCATCCTAGAACATCCTTTAAAAGTTTTCTACGTGGATGGTGTCTTTGCTTGCTTTGTTGGAGCAGACAGACAATTGAATTCTTTTTTAAATTACATTAACGCATTACATAATCGTATAAAATTCACTATCGAGATTAATCTATTAATTTTTTAGACTTAACTATTAGGAAAACGCAAAACAAATTAGATTTTTCCATTTACCATAAACCTTCACACACGGACACAGTCATACATAACAGCTGAAATCAGCCTTATACACATAAAATGGCTGCATTTCACCCTTTTATACACAGACTTCTTAATACGCCACTCTCAACAGAAAATTACAACAAAAAACTTAATATCATTAAACAAATTGCGCTGAACAACGGCTACAATCCGTCCATTATCGATAAAATTATGGATAAAAAAAAAATCTAGACAACAGTAAACTCTATTTATCCGAAACCTAATACAGAACACCAACAATTTAAAACATTTACATATATAGGAGAACCTAGTGAAAAAAATTGAAAAACAATAGCAAAATTTTTAAAAAACAATAAAAGGAAATTTCCAAAATCTCAAAAATCAGGTGTCTACAGGTTGAAATGCGGATCTTGTCCTAAAATATACATTGGACAAATAATTCTTCAAGAAACGCATTAACGAACATAAAAGAGCGTTTAAAAACAATAGTCTAGATTCTAATTATGCTACACATTTAAACACAGAAAAACAAATTTTTGACGACAATTTTGATATTTTACATACAGCCACACAAAGTAGAAAATTAAATTTGTTGGAAGCCATGGAGATTAACAAAATGAGACATTCAAATGTATTGCTTAACGATCAATTAGATTTAAATACGTCTCCATTATTAAGCTTAAATTCTCACAACAACGTTAATTAAGGTTTTAAGGTCATTTTTCGGTTTTGTCGAAACAATTGAAATTTTAGTTCTTATTTATTTTGTTAAATGGATTTTCATCAAGTAAAAGCCACCTCAGTTCAATTTTTACAAAAAAAAAACTTATTTTCGACCCGTAAATATAAAACAATTTCGAACCGCCCTGTATATTCTGCGATTCCACTTCGTTATCGAATAAGTAAGTGTCAAAAAATTTGCCACGACCGGATTGTTTTTCGATCATTCCGGGCGCGATTCTCGCGCGGTGGAAAATGGCCGCCGTCGAAAAAGAGAAATTGGCGGTGCGTTTCGCAAACCTTCCGGCCGTACCGCCCTTCTTTTTAATTTAAATTCTTCGTCCGCGACGTTAAAAAATTAATTGGCGTGCGCGACGTTGCCACGTCGTTGCCGAACGATTGCTTTCGCCAAAATTCCCCGAGTGTCGTTTCGGTAGGTATAGATTGCCTAATGGGACGACAGCTGATACTTATTTTCAACGAGGAGATACGATGCGGCGGCTGCTCCGGCAGCGGCGTACCGCCCCCCTCTTTTGCGCGAGCTTAAAAACCCCTTTTTAATTTTTCTAGTCCCCCGACTCGCGAGGTCGTTTTTATATACTAGAAGTCCGTTTTATTAAATTAGAAGCCGGTTTTATTAGCTCCGAAGCTATCTTATTGTTTCCTATATTATCGGAATGGCACAAGTGTAAGCTCTTTTATCAAAGCTGAACCTGTTTGAAGTTATTTTTGAACGAATTTGAACTTTTGAAGCCGAATTTTATAAGTGCTTTTCGGTATTATTGGTATAGCACCTCCGGATGTTTTGCGAGATCACTCTTTGGAAACCGCAGCTCTTTGAAGTTATTTTTAAACAACTTTGACCCTTTGACGTCGATTTTATAAGTGCTGGAGCTGTTTAATCCAATCTCATGTTATGGGAAAATCCGGAGTCGCTCTGGACGTTTTAAAGGTCGTTGTTCGAAGACACAACTTTTTGAAGTTATTTTTGAATAAATTTAACCTTCTGAAGCCGATTGCAAAAATACTGAAGTGCTTTTTTGTATTATTGGTATAGCATGTTTTGTAAGATTTCGAAACCTTACCTCTATTTTTGAACAAATTTTACCATTTGATGTCGATTTTACAAGTGCTGAAGCTATCTTCTCCTTAAGTGCTGAAGCTGTCTTTCCTATCTTATGTCAAGCGAATAGCGCGATTCGCTCTCAATGTTTTCAAGGTCGTTTTTCGAAGCTGGAACTCTTTGAAGTTATTTTTGAACAAATTTGACGTTTTTAACCCGATTTTATAAGCACTAAAGTGCTTCTTTGTATTATATGTATAACAAACTTCCCTCTGCATGTTTTGTAAGATCATTTTTCGAAACCTTTCCTCTATTTTTGAACATATTTCACCCTTTAAAGTCGATTTTATAAGCGCTGAAGCTATCTTATCCTTAAGTGCTGAAGCTCTCTTATCGTATTTTAAGGGAATAGCGCGATTCGCTCTGAATGTTTTTAAGGTCGTTTTTCGAAGCTGGAACTCTTTAACAATTTACCGCGTGATATTAAAAACTGTGATTTAAAAGACGCCATGTATTGTCCAATAAAGATTTTATTATTATTATTATTATTTGAAATTTTGAACAAATTGGGAATGATATGGAAAAATAAAGTTAACTAAGATTTTTTTACAGTAATAAAATCACTTGTATTATTATTATTTGAAAATTTGACCCCTCCTCGACGAGACGCCGCTGGCCACTGGCGGCACGTGTCCACCGTACGAGACCGCTCGCGTTCTGCAGCTGTCGGCGCAGCTGAAACCGTCTCCGAAACACATGTCGGAGCAGATTATCATCGTCGCGGCGTAGTCTCAATTTTCGACCGCCTCCGGCGCGGAGGCGAAGACGGTTTTTGTTTACGCGTTCACCCTGTATAAACGTCGACCGCCCCTCAAAGTAACTGAACTCGTTCGCCGCCGCCGCAGCGCCGGAGGAAACGACCATTTCCGGGTCCGTTTTCCGTTGAAAGGCAGCTCCCCCTTCAATAATAATAATAACTACAGCGGCGGCGGCCAACCGCGGCGTCCATCAAAACCAACGCTCGGACAATGCGACGACGACGTACAAAAAAAGGTCACCTCGGGTGAGCGATCGCGACGTTTTCTCCTGTTTTTCCCCACCCGCCCCCATTATCCGACCGACTGCGCCCGTTAACGTTTCGTCGCGGGGTGGTGGCTTTTCTATCGGGGCGGATGGGAAAAAAAACGACCGACGATCGAAAACAACGCGGAGGCCGACTCTTTAATTGCCTGTTTCCCTTCGGGACAGCTGCGCCTCGCGGCCCCATCAGCAGGTGGCCGCCATATCGACGTTTTATTTGGTGCGACGCGTATCCGTCTCAGAATCGTCAAGAAGAAAGTTCTCCGAACGGCAACCGGAGAAAAATTATTGTCCGAAACGGACTGGCGAAATCGGCGAAGCGCCATCTGTCGGACGGTAGCCGCAGCGATCTGTTGGTCCGTTAAAAAGGTTTCTTTCGTTAGAACCTATATTTACCCCGAATCAGGAAATTGCTCTTAGTTAAATACCTAAGTTTAATCCACATTATTAATTAACGTAATTGAACAGTAAAATAATTTAAAGAAAACTGGAGTATATATCGGTTACTAAACTATTTTACTATTTGTTCGTCCTAACAAAATAATAATTGCCATTGCCAAAATCACATCACGTGGCCTCTTCCGGCCTGACTTAACTGGGTAGTTCTCCTTCCTTTTAAGCCTTTTAAATTTAGTTGCTTTTCAGTCTTGTTAGCCCGTTAAAGGGCCAACAAGGCTATTGAAACCATTACCAGAGTAAGCCAGCTATTGTGGAATGAAGCGTTTCACGTCATTTATTCATTGTATTTGTTAAATTATGATTTTATATCTTAGAGTTACGTTAGCAATGTCTATTTTGTATTCTGTGCCTTTTTGTTGTGTTTTTGTTTTGACCAGAAACTAAGACGAACAGAAGAAAGATAGAACTGTGGCGGTGGTGCACATTGCACATGTTTTAGTAATAAAGATTCAGTTTGAAGAATTCCGTTTTATCATTTTTGATTGTATATTCTCACAGTAACGTTCTTCGCAATGCGGCAACTCAGAGCTGCTGCAAATCAGAACAGCTGCATTTTTTAACCAATTCCGGAAATAAATCAATGGTAACATGTTGAAGCGCCATCTCTTAGACAGTGACCTAAACTTTACAAAAAAATTAACAAACAAAATTAGCGCACTCTCTTAGGCAGTTGCCAAACCAAAGTTGGAGCGTTCACTCGATTTTTTATTTCCAGATTTACGTAGGCACCGGTCGAAGAAAACGCGCGAGACGTCTATTTTTAAAACTGCGAACATTGACGTAATACCGAGATCGTTTCGTCGCCTACCGCGATGGAGCACGGATCGTGCGAGATCTCGTCGGAACTGTACTCCGAAAACGACTACAAATGCGACGCCGGACCGACGGTGAACCAAAAAAGTGAGTCGAACCGTCATATTTGCTCGCCTCGATCCCGTGGTGTTTTTTTTGCAGACGTGGTGTCTCGTTTTCGCTTCTCTTTGCCCCCGGAGTCCGTCGTCGACTCGGACGGCGACCTGGTGGTGCCCAGGAAACACTCTAAACCGACCGAAACCTTTATCGATTTGGGTAGATACGAGGTAGAGGTCGCTACAAGTTACTAACCGCCATTTTACCCGCAGAACACAGCCAGAGTACCAACCTAGACTTGGTCGGGTTGCAAGTGTGGCGGGGCTCACTTTTACTAGCCGATTGGCTACTTTGTCACTCCTCCTCCCTGCCGGAGGACGATTACGTGCTGGAATTGGCGGGAGGAGTGGGACTCGCGACCATAGTGACATCTATGTTCCGACCGGTGATATGCACAGGTGCGTCGCCAACTCTGACGTCTGTTTTATTTATTTGGTTGGCATGGCCTACTATCCGGTTTTCGCAGACGTCAACAGGGGCGAAATTTTCGACGTGATCCGGGCAAACTGCGCGAGAAACAACCACCTTACCGCGCGGCCCGTCGAAGTGATTGAGCTCGACTTCCAGGAGGCCATTTTGCCGTCCAAAATAACGTCTCTGTTGCCGAAAGTGTCCACGATCGTCGCCGCGGACGGTAATGTCGCGTTTCGATTTATATATCATGACCACCGATAACATTTTGTCCCTCAGTGATCTACGACGACACCTTGACGGACGCTTTCGTCGAAACCCTGGGGAAGCTGCTCGCCGTGCCGCCGAAACGTCGGGCGTACGTTGCCTTGGAGAAGCGTTACGTCTTTACCGTGGCCGACCGCGATTGCGTGGCGCCCTGTTACGATTATTTTCTAGGTCGGCTCGACAAGTTGGAAAACGTCATCGCAGAGCAAGTGGAAATAGATTTCCCGCAATATTTTCGCTACGACAGGGTGAAGGAGCTGGTCTTGTGGCGGATATCGTCGAAATTTTGATTTGATAATAAAAATACTCAACGCTTAGCGAGTTTTATTTAAAATTACCAAGCGCCATCTGTTAGCGAATAGCTGAAGATTTTGTAAATCATGGACATAGACAAAAATGTCTTTTCCTGTTTTTAAATTTTGAATGCGAAATTAGAAATTCCCGTGGAATTTAGAGGATCAGTCTACGGGAAAAAGGAAGTAATTATATGAATAACAAAGACAATTTATTGGTTTATTCAATTTGATATTAACATGGTCCAATATACTATGCAAAAAAAATAGGGAAATATAATAACTATTATTGGAGAATAACAATAATACCCAAGTCAAACCTGTATGTCAACCTAACAGTTTTTCAGCAAAAACATTTTTACGAATTAAACGCGCTAAGAAAAATTTCAGAGTGCCAGGGTATTATCATAAACATCTTCAGCCTGTCGTGGTCCGTGACTGTCCTTTATATTCTGTGGTCTGTGTTGCCGCACTCGAAATTCTAGGTTATGTATTTGTAAATATAGCGGAAAATGTTAAGAAACATTCTGAAATCGACGCTACGGTTGAACGAAAAACGCCGCGGCTGTTCCCAAGCGGCTAAAATGGTGGCAGAACGACAAACCGTGTTACCGACCAGGTTCATGACCGAGGATGGCGAAATCAACGAAAAGGCGGTGTTAGAGAGAATCGTGTCGGGGCCCCCGGACGATTCGAGGGTGGCGCAGCCTTCTTTCAATTTTGCCGCTTACGCGGACAAGTCCGACACCTTGCAACAGTTGGTCAAGCTTGGGGTCGATTTGTATCGTATCGAGCACCAAGTGAAAGCAGTCCCTTTCATTTTGACGCTTAAGTTCGACGACATCAGGCAGCACATAATGTTTTTGAAAGATGTGGGTCTCGGGAAGGACGAAATCGCCAACGTCATCACGAAGAACCCGTTCATTTTCAAAGAGGAGCTCGACAATCTCGAGGTGCGCGTAAACTACTTGGAATTCAAGCAGTTTACCAAAGACATGGTGACTCACATATTGAGGTCGAATCCCGTGTGGTTAAGTCACAGGTAGAAAGGTTTCGGAGCGTTACGAAAGAGTGGCGAGAGTATTAGTGTGGTCGCGTTTCAGCACGCAAGAGATTGATAGGCGATTGGGATTTTTCCAAAAAACGTTCAGCTTGAAGGGCGATCAAGTGCGCGCATTGGCGACCAAAAGGTCCAAACTCATCACTTACGACCTTGCAAAGGTCAAACTCAACCTGTTTGTCATGAAAGAAGAGATGGGGTTTGATGTGACAGAAATAAGAAGTATTATACTAAAGGAACCCAAAATATTCACTTCAGGTATGTTTTTTTTTGTCCCCACTTGCGAGACATGGGCCCAAGTTATGTTCCCGCAGGCCAAAATCGACTGCTGAAAACATTCGAGTACCTGCACCGTACCATGAAGATCCCGCTGGACCGGATAGCCCTCACGCCTGAAATTTTGACGTGCAGACGAAACAGGCTCGAACCCAGGCACCAGTTCCTCGTCAAGCTTGGCCGGGATCAGTTCGATCCTAAAAAACCCAACTACGTGGCCCTTACCACGCTCGTCGCCGAAGATGACGTAACATTTGCGACCGAAACTGCTAAATCGTCCACTCATGAATATAATCTATTTCTTAAAACGTTTTAAATACATATTTATACAAGGAGGTTCGTTTTTTTTTACTGGAACTTTTGAGAAGGTTCATTTAACGTGCGCATGCGTAATATTTATGATCTTGTTTTCAACAATGAACATATTTAGAGCATATTAAATTTTTATACAAAAATGGAATTAAGTGTGGAGAATGAGCAAAGTATTGAAAGCCGAAGTTTGTAAATGGGAGTTCCACATAAACTACCTTTAAATCCTTTAAATTAACTTACACATAAGGCAACGCTTACCCGCGTATAGGCACATTCATTTCCTTACAGTTTTGACCGCAAACACAGCAGATTTCCCAGTGGATGGTCATTTTTGTCACAGAAACACGCAATTAGCGCGGCGTTGCCGATAAAGTCCGTATTTTATGATATTGCGTTTTTACAAAAATAAATCAATTTGCCGATAAAAGTTACGACGATTGCACAACTCAGTCAGTTGCACCAATTTTTACCGTAGTAGGGCCTAGTGGCCTAAATAACGTAGGTAAGTTTTGATTATTTCTTTTCTATGCGTCAAAGTATGTCAGTTACCCATAATGCAGTGCTGTCATAGTCGTCCTCAAATCGTTCGCAATTAAGAAGCAAAAGCGCGTAAGTTGCTATTGTCTTTTTTAGTCAAATTTAATTTGATTTCAAGTTTAAAGCAAACTAGACGCGCCTCGCGCGTAATTTTTTTGTCTCGCAGTGTGCTGTGACCGGTGAATTACACACGTGCGCGCGCGTTTCTCGCTAAACGAACGTTTAAAAGTGGAAATTTCGTTCGCTTTTGAGGAAACCCAACCTCAAATGGATTCTCAAAACAATACAGGTAGGAAAAGTATCATCAAGTGTGTGAATAGTTATGACGCCGGAGTGTTACCGTCGTGTTTGTTCGCAGTGGACGAAGAAACCAACATGGTTTCCGAAAAGGCCGCGGCGCATATCGTGCCGTACTGTCAGGCCGCTACTTCCACGATCGTGCGCGTCAATCAAAACAAAGTGCTCGGCTCCCAGGTCGTATTATGCCTATTTCTCTTCACCCACGGCACTAGGTTAGACGTTATACTTTAAAATCAGGTCCAGGAGGAGCTGGAAATAAACATGTTGGTCCGGAAGCACCAGGATGCGAACGATCGCATCGCGGCGCTCCTAAAACGGATCGAGACGTCGAGCGCCGCCTCGAAGACGCTCGAGTCTCGGCGTTCCACTTTCGCGCAGCACCAGCCTCAAACGCGCATGCGCGTCACTCGCACCGGCGAGCTTATGAAGCTGGTGAAGAACGAGGTGGAAACGTTGAAGAGGGACGCGTCCGAGGCGGCCGAGAAAGTGGGCGTGGTCGCCAGAGAACTGGGCAACTTCAGGTCGCTGACGACCACGACCGAGGAGAATAAAAAGAGGTTCATAGAGTTGGCGAGGAGGACGGAGAAGGGGTTGCAGGAATTGAAGAATCAGAAAGTGGAGATCGAGGATGATAACCTGGTCGGGCGCAACGCCGACTTGGAGCGAGCGATCAAATCGAAACTGGAGGTCTTGGAGGAGAAAAGACGAAGGATACCGAAGGTATCTAGACTGACGGGCGAGAAGATCGGGAGGTTGGAGGCGATCTGCGCCGAATCGGCGGAGCTGGAGGAGGCGCGGCGCCGTTTGGAGGGTTCAAGACGCGACCTTGAGGAACGGCGCCTAGAAGCGAAGCAGGAGATTGAAATATTAGAGGGAAGGTAGGAGGGACCGCTTACGAGACGCGGAGGTGCCTCGAACGTTTCGCATTTTACAGGATCGAAGAACTTTCGGCGAAGAAAACCGCCTCGGAGCAGGACGAGGCCCGTTCGAGGTCCTCCAACAACGAATTGGAGGCGAAAATGGAGGTGGCGAGGGAGGAAATCCGTAACCGGGAAAGGGAATTGGTCGCCGTGACTGTCGGCTTGGAAGCGGAGCAGAGGAAGGTGGAGGAGAGGAAGGAGAAGCTCAGAATCGAACTCGAGTCCGACAGGGACACTTTCGCCGCAGAAGGGGAGAATTTGCGGAAAGTCCGCGAGGAAAACGCGCGGCTGAAGCAGGTAATATTTAACGTCACCCTGTGTCACCCCTATATATAACCACAGACCTTTAATAAAATTAGAGGTCTGTGCACATTTGATTGTCTGTTGCGTAGGCGGTCCGAAGATATTCTTCTTCTTTTTTGCGTATATTGAAAAAGTTTAATCTGAATTTTAACAGCTAACTCAACTAACTCTTATTTTTACTCAATGTTTCGATGTTTTTCTGTTTTTATAACCAACCAGAACCTTATTATCTGTGACACACGCGGTTCCGAAGTTATTCTTCTTTTTTGTTAATATCGCACAAGTTTAATCTGGGATTATGAATTTTAACATCATCGCAGACCTTTATTTTTACCAATTTACCAATTATTTATCTGATGTGTGAATCAATGCGGGGATTAAATTAAAATTAATTAAATCTCATCTAAAAATGTACATACGTTTTAATTGGTTGTCTTTGAGAAGGCGTTAAATGTTTAATTCGAATCCATTGTTGCCAGATTGTACCTCCACTTGTCTCCTACCATTTAATAAATTCGACAACAAAATAACAGAAACTACCGTGTATAATAATATTGTTATAATTCTTCTTCGCTTAGTAAATGTAAAAAAAACACCCTCAACCTTCAGATCGATTGAGATGACATATATAACCAACAAAAACGTTATTGTCTGTGACGTGGGCGGTTTCCTAGGATATTCTTCTTGTTTTTTGTTTCAATCAAGAAGTTTAATCGGGGATTAAGAATTTTAACAGAATCGCAGCTTCCTTACTCAACGAACTGTTATTTTTACTCATTATTTCGATTTTTTTATGTGTATATAACCAACCAGAACCTTATTATCTGTGACACAGACGGTTCCGGGAATATTCTACATTTTTGGTTAGATCGCAAAAGTTTAATCTGGGATTATGAATTTGCTTGCTTACTCAACGAACTGCTATTTTTAATCAATGTTAGGAACTTTTTCTGTAGGTATAACCAACCAGAAACTTATTATCTGTTATGTTTTCTTTTTTTTTTTGCTTATTCAAAAAATTTGAATTTCGTTCGTCGCGAGGTCGTTTCTTCTTTTTTTGGTTTGGGCCTCCGATCGGAGAGCCTAACCTCACTTATCGCCATTATTCTCCGGGTTAAGGTGCGCACGGAAAGATGCGCCACGCTGCTGCGCGTCAAAACGGAACTCGACGAATGTCGGTCGTTCGTTTCCGACGCGGAAACCCGCGTCGCCGAGCGTCGCGAGCGCCTGGAGGCGCTCAGGGCGAAGGCGCCGCCCTTGGACCTCCTCCTCGACGACCTCAAATCGAGGCTCGCCGACTTCGACGAGTCCGTTGCCGAGTCGACTCGCAAACTCGATTCTTTTCCTTCCGAATCCGCCAGGCGAACGGAGGAGGCGCGGAAGCGGCTCGAGGAGGTCGACGAGAAGCTGTCGAAACGGCTAGAGCTGCTGCGCGCGTCCTCCGAAATCCTGCAGGATCGTCTGCGGACCGTTTCGGAAGAGTGGGAGTTGGTGCGCGTCGAGAACGAGCTGCTCGACGAGCAGCTCCGGACTGAGAACGTCAACTTGGAGAGGAAACTTGATTCGCTGGCCGCGCTCCAGAAGGAGGTCGCGGATTTGCGCGACACGCACCGACCTCTTGCGGATGGGCGACGCTCGCCTGGCATACTGAAGCACGGCAAAAGCCCGAAGAAGCAGCCAGTTACGTCGCCCAAGAAGGTGACGTTCGAGGGCTTGTCGTCGACGCAGTCGACCAACGAGACGGTCGAAAGCGAGGACTCGGTGAGTTCATAATTGCGACGAATTTCACCGCGCACAGCGCTAGCGCCATCTGGCCGCCGGTAACGGAACCGAATTGTTTCAGCGAACGCGTGGCTTGTTCGCCGATTGGACACTCGGAATCATGCCGCAGCCCAAAAAACCCGCCAAGAAAATTTTCGATTTTTAATTTCGTTTAGTATGTGTTTAAAAGTTTCTTTCGTTTTGCTTAAAATCGGTCTTTTAATTATTCCCGGAAGGGATAATGTTCACAGCGCGCCATCTGTACTGGCCGGGTTAATGCAAGGCGCCATCTATCAGTCAGTAGATTTATAATTTTTTTACTAGAATTCTAACATTTAATGTGTGAATTGTAAAATGTGCAAAAAAAATAATTTACGTCGAAACAGCTTAAAATTTTTTTTTACTAAAATATAAATAAAGTGCTGCTATCCGTTACAAGCTCCTATAGTATTTTCCGTATGACGCATTACTTTAAACTGCCATGACAGTACTGTAGTACTTGGACACAAATAAAAGATGGCATTCGTAAAAGTATACGCGCCCTTGGCCTCTATCTTATACTCTTTGGTGTGTTCCAATCGTTATAAATAAAGATTTTTTTTATTTTGCTTAAAATCCGCCTTTTAATTTTACTCGGAAGCGGTAATGTCCACAGCGCGCCATCTGTCGCGCGAAAGCGTAAGTACCGACCGGGTTAATGCAAGGCGCCATCTATCGGTGAGTAGATTTATAATTTTTGACTAGAGTTCTAACAAAGACATTTAATCCCATTAATAAACTTTAAAGCGTAGGCACTGTTGTAGTAATACGATAAGATTCGAAAATAAAGAATAAAAGATCTTCTTCTTTTTCTTGTATCAGCTTCTCCTTTGGGGGTTTCGATTTCAATCCCTTATAACGTTATAAATTGTGACTATATCGGTCTGACTTTAATTTGTAAAGTTTGACGTGACGATAGTCTTCAACCCACGTTACAAATTATTTAATTAAAGCATATTATTAGAATTTACTTTTGGTATTACCTTTGAAAAGCCGTGATTAAATGTATCATTTTATATTATAGCAAACAATTCAACATATATAACTAACCAAAACATATCGGCAACTGGAGGTCCAGAAGTTGTACAAAAGTCTACTAAAGGTCTACCTGAACCCTCATTAGGGAGTTAATCTCAAGAATATCGTCCGAAATAATATTTCTCAGAACGTCATTAAAAAGTTGTGTTTATCAACTTTTTCTGTTAAATAAAAGAACCCCAGACCGATCTGCAACATAACCGTCAACAAAAAGGTATATGAAATAACAGAATATTGAAAATAACGTCAAAAAAGTGAATTAATAAGTTGCGGTTCGTGTAAGGTGAGTATCGCTTTTTTTAAGTCAGTGTTTGTATTTTTTAAGTCAATTATTATATCTGTTATGCGGTTCAAGAGTCATCTACCGACTGGTAGCCTAAACCGCAGCATTACTTCTTTGCCTTGGCTAAAGCGTGTGCGTGTCTCGGCCAAAAGCGCCATCTATCGCGGGGTGGACGCATCACGCCACGCATTAAATTTAAAGCGGTTAATTCTCCGCAGAGGGCAGCGGATGTTTCCTCTCTTGAGACAAGAGAGCCACAGTCCTAAAATACATTTGTATAATTGTTTAATGACGTCATGACGTTTTGCGCGCCGTTATCGGCGATGTCAGTCAGGCGTAAATTACTTCGTATTATAACGAGACGGTGCTCGAGAATGCAAACTCAATTACCACGCCGAACTTAAAAAAAAAAGTAACCTCGCCTCGACGCCATTTGACTTTCAATCGCGCGCAGTCTACATGCAAATGCCGTCCCCTCATCTACCTTGCAAATATTCCCGAAACGTTTATCGTATGTATTTATCCCCCCAAGTGACACAAAAACTAGACGGACCGCTTGGTCGCACCGGCAACGTTGTAATGCCATTCCGAGATGCCCCTGCCCGTCACCCCGTTCACCTCGCACTTGAAGAACCTCTCGAACATCTTTGCCTCGCGATTTTTACCCTTGAAGTGGACGTGGGTGACCTCGTAGGTCACCTTGACCTCGTAGGTGGTGTCGTTCGCTTCAAAAGTGAAACACAGCTCGTCGCTAGGCGTACCGTTCTCGCCGTGCTGATACAGCACCAGGTCGCAGTGATCTATCGTCTCTAGCTTCCTGTTGGGTAGCACCACGTAGCCGAACTCGAGGTCGGTCGAGGTGCAAGGCTGGCACACCAACCCCAAGGTAATCCTGGTTTGATTCGACAAGTAGAACATGTGGAAGATGTACCGGTGCATCAGGCTCCAGTCGCGTTTGAAACCGTAGCTGTGGTCGCGGAACGAGTCTAAGCTGAGGCGCGTCTCCTTGCCGTCGACCTTGAGGGTGCCCTCCAAGTACCCCATCTGCTCGTAGTGAGTCTGGTGAGCGCTGAAACACGCGGTGTAGTACCCGGCCGGAGCTGGAAGCGCGACTCACTCTTTGAGGTTGCGGAAGAGGTCTTCTGTCCAGGGCTCGAGGGCTATAGACCTGGCGATCTTCTTCAGGGGCAACTCGACCTCGTACAAGAACCAGGGGTAGTCGCTGGTCCAGGTAGCCTTAAGGTCGACGTCTACCAGCCTCGCGGGGTCTTTTTGTAACCTTAACGCGGGCGGGTGTATATTTACTGACCTCTGACGTCACAACGGCCGTTACGGTCTTTTCATAAATATAAGAAAGTGACCAATTGCTTTTGAATTGGATTATCGAAGGGTGGTGATTAACATACAATGCAACAAGATTATTACCTAAAGTTAAATAATATAGAACAAATAATAATTACAACAGGCGATGATAGCGATAGTGATACTGATATATTACGTGAATAATTTTAAGTAATTTAAGTAGGTAATAAAAATAATTTGTAATTTTATTTTAATTCAAACATAAATACATACATGAATAAATAAATATTGTTTAGTATCTTTCCTAACAAAACCCCAAATAATTAAATCCTAAGCAAAGTACGGACCTGTCTTTCCTTAATTCGTATCAGTTAGTCACTTTCTTATATCTACGAACAGACTTTACCTCATTTTTCCCGCGAACGACACCCTCCACGTCCTCATGGGCTCGACGGGGGTGAACTTTATGCCCTCGGCGGCGTACTCTTTGGGGGCGGGCGCCGCGTCAGCGTCGAGTACCGTGTCGGGCAGCTTGCTAGACAGCAGCAGGCCGTGATCGGGCACCTGCGAAACGCCGTGGGGGTTAGGTCGGGAAATCCTGCGGGCCGAAGCGCTTACCAGGACGTACAAGAGACCGCTGACCTTGGCGTCCTGACGTCTCTCGGTGCCGCCGCAGATGTAAACACCATTTTGGGAGACGGCGTGGAAGAACACGGCGTCGAAGGCCTGCGATCGGCGTCGAAATAAAAAATAATAATAACGCATCCATACGACGGACTTACGAGCGGGTGGGAGGAAAGGGGCTGCAGCTTTTCGAGCTGCGCAACGTCCAGGACGCGGTCTTTGCCCAGCAGGTAGAACTTGAATCTGCGCAGGAAGAGGAGGGTCAAGATGGCGGGGTACTTCGCGAAGTACCACTTGCCGGGCCGGCTGTAGATCCCGAACACTCGTTTCGGATCTTTGCGGTTGTTGATCAGGCAGAAGACGAGGAAGAGCACTATGAAACCGGCGAGCACGTCCACGTACATCTTTGCGGACACAGATCGTACCGTGGTCGACGACAAACGTCGCCGAGATAATCTCTTATCTTTGGACCCACTCCAACGCGAGTCGAGTATATTTTTAAACGTCGCCTTATCAGCCGGAACGCCGGCAACGTCGCAAAGCGCGTCAGCTGCACAGAAATTCCGCTTTCTTCTTCTTAACCCAACTCGGGCGCATTGAGGATGAAACCTTTTGTTACGGGCTGATGCGAATGCATAGTAGGCGGCAATAAAAGCTGTTGTCATTTTTCATCTCTCACCTGATATATCGTGCCGCCTTATTCATTTACGACGGAGTAATGACACTTTAATGGGAAAATGATTAAGGCGTATTTACTTGGTATATTTGTTTAGTTTAAAGCTGTTTACAAAGAACGATTCAAAATAAAAAAACAACACGATTTTACGTAGACGTTCCGACTTGCCAAGAATGTGTGGAAATAGTTTCTGTTCAAAAACGACTTGTCTAAGTCGAAGTCGTAACCTTTTGTGTTGTTGTACTAAGGTGGCTTTTGCTTGATAACTGCAATTTTCACAGTTATTTATTGGTTTTTAAAGTAATCTTATTTATTATTTGTTTTAGACAAAAATGTTGAATTCAAAACTTATAGTTAACACTAAATCAAATAATTAAAAATTATTTTCAAATATACGGGGCGATTTATAAATATGTGGGAAACCAAACGTATGTACCTTTTAAATGGAACACCCTGTCTAATATTGCATCAGTAGATACTCCCTTTTATACTCAATCGCCCAATATGAAAAAATGAAAGAGCATTATCAGGAGTAATTAATGGAAGTATAATATACAAAGTGTTCCTTTTTTTTAACGAAAATAATGTTTTACATTTCTACTCACCCTGTATAACTTCAAAACAAGTATAGGACAAAATAGTGGCGTCAAAAATATAAGGTATTAAGCACAGGGCGTTTTTTACGAAAAAGCTGCCTTAAATCCGAAAACACTCAGTACAGATCATAAATATCCTACATTGGTTGATTAAGTATTTACAGGGAGTATCTATTAATGTCATTTGATTCCCACATGGTTATGAATCAACATTTATATTTAAAAATAATTTTAAATTCTTCATATGAGTTTTTTTCTAAAACAAATACCTAATAAATGAGATATATTACTTTGACACACTATTTGGACACCCTGTATATATAAACAGGTACATTTAACAACGGGTACCCATTTAAATCCAATAGGTCATTAACTAATAGATTCTAGTATTTCATTTTGTTAATCTGCAGAGTTTCCAACAAATTTAGTTTTTTGCTTTTTGATTCATTACGTAAAACATAGAAATTATAATCAAACTTAAAAGAAGAGCAAATAAATAATCTTTAATATTATTTTTCAAAGAAATGAGATCTGATGATATATTATTTGCTCTTACAATATCATGCATTTCTAATTTTAGTTGTGGTTTCAGGTTTCAGATTGTTGTGATTGTCGCTATCATTAGTTACGCGCGTTCAATTTGTCTTGATAACATTTTAATTGGCTGTAATTTTTTGTTTTTAGAGATAACAAGGTAAACAAACAACGAAATATAGGCTTAGTAGCCAAGTTTTTTTCTAAGTGTTGTATAAAACAAAACACTATCAATTTTCTGACATGTAAGCCTACATCACTTTTTTTTAATGGGACACCCTGTATATTAATAATAATTGCAAAGAGTGCAAAGTAGAACAAAAACACTAAAAATGACAAGGCGCACTAAAGTAAAAAATTCTTTAACTATTCTGCTGCACCATTTTCCTGAACACATTTCTCCTACACTCTAATTATATGATGTCCTGCATTTAGTAACGTTGCCGGATTGTCTCTTAACAGATTGATTGCCTCTGAAATCCTTTGCCGAAGGTCCAAGACATTATCACGAAGTTTTGTGCGCGTGATTTTTTATGTGTCACCAAAAGAAAAAATACATTAAAGTTAAGTCGGGACTATTGGCTGGCCAATCAATATTCCATGTTAAGAAAATTTTCAACTTTGGCAACATTTTGAGGAGGGGCACCGACTTGCTGCCATATAATCAGCCCTGATATATTTAGGGGTGAATCTTCTATATATTGTTCTATCTGGTGCTCTAAGAGTTGCAAATAATGATCTCCAGTTAACTAACTAAATTGATCTATTGATCTATTGATTGGTACCCCTGGGTTTTTATTTCGTGTATTTGTCTAGGATTATTTAAGGAGCAATATCGCGTATTTTGTCTTTCTTGTAGTGAACGAACTTTCATCAGTCCATAAAATCTTTTTCAAAAAATTATTATTCTCATAATGTCTATGTAAAAAATCCAAACAAAGTTGCATCTTCCTTTGACATTGTTCTGCACTTTTTGAGTTATATTCTTTCAAAACTGAATGGATTGATCCCCGTGAAATAGCTGTCTCTTCAAATACTCCAGGAATAGAAGAAACTGGGTGTGCTTCATAGAATCCTAATTTGTTTGCCTTATTTTCTTCATTTAAAACATTATGATTCCGGCATACCTTTTTAGCATTTAATACGTTAACGTTTCCTGCCAATTTCTTTGCCAGCCTTGGAAATATCAGTTTTAAAGGAGCTCGGCGCTTTGCGTAAAATATTAAAGATTCTTCTCTGGATTACCATGAAAACACCACCGCTGATTTATTTGAAAGTTGGTTTAAAAACAAAGTAGTTCCAAACATTCTCCTAATAGCGTAATTGTAATGGACAATGCGAGTTATCACAGTAGATAGTTGACTAAAACCCCTTCCTCATGTGACACAAAAGCAACAACCCAAAACTACATGTATAATAACGACATTTATTTTCACGAAGATTATACCAACAAGCAATTAATTGAGGTTCTACAGAGCTTGAACCTACAAAAGGAATACATCTGTGATAATTATGCAAAAAATCTGAGGCATACAGGTTTAAGGCTTCCACCTTACCACACTATATTTAATCCTATTGAACATGTTTGGCACCAACTGAAATCTGCCATTCGTCGTAACAATGTTTTTCCCCGTGTTAACTCCAATGTCCTCAAACTTATAGAAACCGAAGTTTTTAACATCCCTCCACAAAGTTGGGCAAATTCTGCTAAACATATAGAAAAAGTAGAACAATCGTATATCCATATTGCAAATAATATAGAATAAATAATAATTAGAACAGGCGATGATAGCGATAGTGATACTGATATATTATGTGAATAATTTAAAGTAATTTAACTAGGTAATGAAAATAATTTTTAATTTTATTTTAGATTTAAACAAAAACCGCAAATTACCCCACGAAATACATTCATAAATAAATACATATTGTTTAGTATCTTTCCTAACAAAACCCCAAATAATTAAATTCTAAGTTCGGCCGTATTTCATTCTTACAGCTTGCCCGGGTCTTTCCTTAATTCGTATCAGTTAGTCACCTTCTTATATTTATGAACAGACTTTACTCACCCTACATTTCGTTTTTTTGTTTACTGTGATGTCTCTGATAACAAAAAAGTTTCAGCCAATTAAAAGATGATCAAGATAAATTGAACCCACGGTACAAATTTTTGTATTTATCAAAGTTTCGAAAGCGAATTTGATATTTTTTACGTCGTATTTTCATTCCGTATTTTATTTTTTATACATTACCACCGTGTCTCGGTGGACGAAAACGCCCCGTATACACGTGGGTGTCGAAACCTTTACCTACGACGGCGTATTTATTCAATTACGTAACCCGCTTCCTCATTCGCCGCCAAATCCAATTAGCGTTCCGCTTCATTAAATTAAGGCCTCCCGACTTCGATTAGTTTTTCTCTGAACCGCCGGCGATGGACCTGGACGACCTCCTGCCCGAAATCGGGGAGTTCGGCAAGTACCAGAAGCTCGTCCTCTGGTTCACCCTGCTGCCGGCCGTCTTCCCATGCGGTTTTCACGCCTACAACCAGCTCTTCATGGCGACCGTGCCCGATCACTGGTGTCGGGTACCCGAACTAGACGGACTCGACCACCAGGTCGCGAAAAACATCAGGTACGAAGCGCAAGTACACTTCAACCAGAAATATAGTGCTTTTACAACCGACCCCGTGATTAATTTTGCGTACTGTTTATTACCCTTTATAGAACACCCTGCCGAGCAGGAGCTTACCCGTAACCATTCCAGGACCGCCCTACCTACACCAGTGATGCGGAAACTTTTTTTAAGGCGGCCCATTTGTAATAACTAGACGATCGTAGCGTGCGCAAGAATAATGCTTAATCGTTAAAAAAATTATGTGTTTTGTAAACATATACATATATTAATACATACACATACATACAGCAAAAGGTAAGAAAATTATAAGCACAAAATATAAAATGAATTTAGTGTAGTTCTTGATGTGAGTTATTATCACTTTAATTTTTGGTGTCATTACTGGTTGATAGTGCATGAGAGAAATGAAATTGAGACTGTTTTATCAAAATTTCATCATAGTCCATTTGCGAAGCAGAAATTGTAAAAGCTGTAATTCTGTTTCCTAAAGAAGTTTTCCTAAGCTTCATCGTTGAAAGGGATTGTTCGCATGTATAAGATAAGCGGAACATTGTCATTATCTTCACTGCATGAGTAATTCGATTTGGGAAATTATCTGGGCTTCAATTTTTATAAAATTCTAGTGATGGTACTGTATGAAAAGTTTTTATCAGGAGAGTATTACAGTTCAATCCTATTAACTCAACTTAACTCAACTTCTTCGTAATTAACATTGAATGGGGTCGCAAAAATACTACACTCTGGTTCCATTTTTCTAAAGTCCTGTCATCTCCAGAGAGTTTTCTCAAATTAATTTCGTATTTTTTAATCTGGTTGTTTGATATAGTGAATTTTAAAGATTGTATTCTTGGAAAATGAGAAAAATCAGATTTAGATATCTGATTACCAAATAATCAATAATATCAATAGGTAAGTTCTTCTGTAATTTTAAAGTGGGCGTTGCGTGCTCTTACAAATATGAGTAACTGCGCAGTATCGCTGTACTTTCGCCCATGGTAATTGAATAAAAAATAATTTTTTGAGTTTTTGTAGTCGGTTGTGAAATTAGAGTTTTATCAATAATTTCAATAATTGTCGTTGACTTGATAAATTTGTTATTAAATCTTTCGATTTAATTTTTTCACCACTTCACTTAACGATGAGTAGAAGTTGTTTTCATGTTTGCTCTTGAAATGGAGTTGAATGTCACATTCTGAATCCACTTTTCTTTTTTTAACATCCATTTTAGACGTCACCGACTGCGGAGAATAACACACACAAACGCAATTGACGAAAGCTTACTATTAACTAATGCTCTTGCGCGGGTGTTTGTTGAGGCAGTGGGAGTTTCGGGGATTACACAAACAATTACTGAAGTCACATCGGTTCGTTGCAGATGACTGAGTAACTGATCTTCGGGCGGCCTCGCTTGTAATGGGTGTTTTTTTTCGATGTATAGAACTTTAAGTTGGAATTACTGTTCAAGATGGCGACCGATTTAACAGCTGTCAAGTGATTTATTCTCAGTTTGGTTTGGTAATTCAACATGAATAGACTCACGCCTGAACAACGCTTGCAAATTGTGCAATTTTATTTCGAAAATAATGATTCTGTGCGGAATACGTATCGCGCACTACGTCCATTTTATCGCCGACAAAATCGTCCATCAGAGCAGTTAGTTATTGCTGCTGTAGAGCGTAGCATTGAGGAAGACCCGAATGAGTCCATCCGCCAGGAATTGGATCTGTATCCATCCACTGTATGGAAGATTTTGCGAAAGGATCTTGGTTTACGTGCTTACAAAATCCAACTCGTGCAAGAATTGAAGCCAAACGATCATCAAGTAAGGCGTAGATTCGTCGAATGGTCCCAAAAAGATATTGCCGTTGTTCCCGATTTTCATAAGCGAATTTTGTTTAGCGATGAAACGCACTTCTGGTTGAATGGCTACGTCAACAAACAAAACTGCCGCATTTGGAGCGAAGCTAATCCTCAAGTGTATGTCGAAACACCGTTACATCCAGAAAAACTGACTGTTTGGTGCGCTTTATGGGCTGGTGGAATCATTGGTCCTTATTTTTTCAAAAATGATGATGGCCAGAACGGTACAGTAAAGGGTGATCGGTATAGAGCTATGATTACCAACTCTTTCATTCCTTAATTGAATAACCATGATGTCCAGGAGATGTGGTTTCAACAAAACGGCGCAACATGTCACACAGCTCGTGTCACAATCGATTCATTGAAAGACACGTTTGGTGACCGCCTAATTTCACGTTTTGGACCTGTGAATTGGCCTCCAAGATCTTGTGATTTAACACTGCTAGACTACTTTCTGCGAGGCTATGTAAAGTCATTGGTCTATGCGGATAAGCCACAAACGCGCCAGCCGTTGCGGTCACATGCCAGAAATTATATTTAAAATGAAATGCCACAAGATTATCTTTCGGATAAATAAAATTCATGTCAATCGTATAATCCATCGTTGATTTATTGCAACTTAAAGTTCTATACATCGGAAAAAAAACACCCCTTATTTATACCTGCAAGGATTGTTCAGGAATTGGATTTTCCGGTTGTTTCGGAAAAACAGAACAATGAATCGAAAGTGTCTGGAAGTTTCGAGCGAAGAGGAGTCAGCTGTTTGGGTCGGATGGATTTGTCCAGAATACTATTGTGTTTTGAATATCGCTGCAGGTAAAACGGGCCGGAACTGAAAATCTATTTTCTTCAAAAACGGCTCTTTGGCACAACTAATCTTTAAGTCTCTCAGTACTTTTTTATGCAGTTCTTCTAGGGTCTATAAGCGTTTTGGATGTACTAGCATCTTCTCTCACGTTCCTCTTGACTATCCCATTTGGTCATGTCACTTGTTACTTTCGAAAATCGATGAAAGCGAATTTTCGAAAGTATCTGCGCTCGTATAAACATTTTATATCTCGGCAACGATAAGTCCTACGGGATCGCCGTTGTTTTTCAGTCTGTCCGTTCTCTGTTCTCGTCTTTTGGTTTTTCCTGCATAACTTTCGAACCGTTGGAGCTACAAAATAGAAATTTTTCTCCTTTTTAACCCTCCACGAGGCACATAAGCTTGTAGGAAATGGCCCTGATCCGACGCCGGTATCCATCTTTTTTTCGCGATTTTCGACTGTTTTTTGAACGTTGCTATGAAACACGATAAGCGTTCGAAATTTGAAGCAATCGACTTTATATTTGGCACATATATGCAGCTTTGCCCCGTAACGGAACCTATTCAAAATGGGGGGGGGATTCGGGAAGTATCCTAAAAAAATAAAAAATCGCACGTGTAAGGGTCTACAAAAACATCATTTTTCAAAAACTGTTTAAGGGACCAAAAAAAATCTCGAACCAGAAGAAGCAGAAGATACGGCTTTATAAACTTTTATTCGTGACAATTTTTCAAAAATATATAGGGTGCGCCGCAAATTCAAAAAAAACTGAAAAATGGGTCCCCCTATTTTTCAATAATTTCAAATCTGTGTTTTAGATTCTGTTTATTTTACATGACGAAATAGCCGACATAGACAGCTTAAACTTTTGCATTTACGGTTTTTAAGTATTGTACAGGGTGTTCGCGATATTCCGTGCAATATTAAAACACATAATAAGTACTCCAAATTTGTAGCTACCGACTTCAGACTTGGGAGAGAAGTAGAAGTCTGGACCCGCACTTAGACTCTTTAAATTTGCTAGCAATAAAATAAAGCGAAGTATTTTTTTTTAATTTTTGATTTTTTTTGTGGTTATTTTGTCATCCAGAAAAACATCTTTTCCTCCAAAGCCATTCATCCGATCGGAAAAATTTTACATCCGTAATACGTGGGAGACCCGGCGTTACAACTTTTGTTTTACGCATTTTTTCGATAATATACAAGGTTTTTTAGTTATGAACAAAAATCTAAATCAATAGCTAATCCGTTCCAACAGTGTTATAGGCCGTATCAAGGGCCAGAATTTTTGTATTTACGGTTTTCGTCTATCGCATACGCTTTTCGTGATATTTGAAAAAAATCCAAATGAAAATCACCATTTCTCGCCCTCAATCTAGACCCGATGACGTCATTTACAGTTATCACGTACTGCATGGTTTCAGAAAACAAGTAGTTTTTTGAAAACCATTTACTCCATTGGGAATATTCGGATTCCAAGAAACTAAGGAGATCCAGGGCTATTTCGAACATTGTTGGAATTATATACAGGGTACGTCGTTTTTTTGTGGGTGAATTATTGGCAATACATGAAAAACTTTTAAAGATGTGATAATTTGATATGAACGGTATCGTAAACTGTGTTGAGAGAGAGTTTGAGGTTTCGTCTACAATGAAAGGGGACGCAAGATATTTAAAAAAATATAATTTTAAATTGCAATTACCAGTACAAATTTTGATATTTACCGAAGTATGCTATAAATTTGAAGTTAGACGAAATGTGAAGGACACTTTATACAGGGTGTATTCACAATCAAATTCCATTGCACGATAGAAAAACATTCTTTTTATATATATTATTATAAAGGAACTAAAATTTCATTTCACTAAGGTCTAAACAACGCATAAAAGTGTTACAGGAATTGGTCACTGGAGGGCACTTTACCAAGATTTGTTTTTTAAATTTTTCCTGTATTTTATTCATTTAGACTGATATTGCAAAATAGAACGGACTGCCTTAAGCAGAATCACAAATCCTCAAAAAATGTTACTCTTGTTTTAAGTCGATAATTGTTATCGTTTAGCCACAAATCGACTTGTTTATTCTCGGCTGAAATTTTTCCTGTATATGTGATTATACCTAACACGACTTAATGAAATTTGTCAAAGTCATTGTCATTGTCATAATTAATATTCAAATAATTAATATTACGATATGAATTTTTGCTACGATATGGAGGTGAAGAAGAACCTCTGCAAAGAAAAGAAATACTCTAAAATGACGACGAAAACTTGCTGCTCATGAAAGAATTGCTTGCTCTACAGTATGGGAAGTTTTGTATGAAAATGATCTTCTACCATTTCATGTCCAAAGGGTTTAAGCATTCATTCTAGCAGATCTTCGTATAGCACCCAATTTTACTATTCTTTGCTACACTTTTTCAGCACAAGATCCCGTTTGGGTAACTCTGTGGTTTCTTCCTTCATCTGTAAATGATACTCCCAAATATTTGTATTCACCCACTTCCTTGACAGTTATGTTGGTATCAAGTTCTAGGTCTCCAAACTTTGCCCCGACACCCATGTACTTAGTTTTAGCAATGTTCGTCTTAAGGCCGATATTTATTTTTTCAGAACTTAATTAAATACAACTACTGTGATGTGATCTATGGTTTTTTTTATGGTGACACGAAAAGTTTAAAATTTTGTAATTTCGAAGGACTACAAGGACTTGTGAACCTTGTGTGACAAAGTAGCGACGTCTAAAAGTCTTTTTTTAATTTGTGAGATAAATTAAAGTGATCGTCTGTAGGTAGGGATCTCAATTTTAAGTAATAAGGCCTTCGGGTCCGTTATAAAGACGTTCAAAAAAATAATACATTTTTAACGCATCTCGTCGTCAATTGTTTTATGCTTGCTTATCCGAAATAACGTCTAATTACGTTCCAAAGACAATAAACACATCAACGCTGATAACAGATTTCTTATTGTTGCTTTTATCCTAGTTTAAATATCAGTATTTAACCGGCGACACGCTTCGAGGAAAATAAAACGCGCGCCGGTCATTTAAAAATCTCGCAAATGGGGGAATAGATTGAAATACGGCAACGCCGGGAAGCATACGAACCGCGCCGTTAGTAGTAGAAGCGTACGGTATCGGCTACCTACTTATCGATTGACGTGGAATTATCGTTTGCAGCATCCCGAACGATGAAAAATCCAAATTCAGCCATTGCACGATGTTCGAGACGGAATTTGACAACGAGACGGTCGAAAATGCGAACACGCCGGGAAATGTGCGACACGTGCCCTGCAAAAACGGCTGGGTCTACGACATAGACAGCGTGGACAACTCCGTCGTCAGCGAGGTAACACCCCCTCCCCGCCCCAATGATACCCCCATTGTTCTTAGGAAATCGAAAAACAGTAAAGCTCCTGGGCTTGGTTCCTTACGATTTTCTTAAGAACTTCTCTTAAAACTTAAAAGAGGCTTCTAGCATTGTAATCTACTCTTACATCAGAAGCCCAGTGGGGTTTTCGTGAGGATTGACAATATCTATAATTCACATTGGTACTTGCTAAAAAACTCTATTTTATTATATTTTTTCTTTACATTTATTTTATTTTATTTTATTAATTAAGTTGTTCAAAATGTCCATCTAGTTGCTGTACACATAACCTAGCACTTCTTATAATTGAAGTGATTGCTCCGCTAACAGTCTCAGGTTCATATCCATAATCCTAGCTACTATTTGTTCTCTGTTTTCAATACTTTCTCCATGAACTAAAGCTTTCGGGCTTCGCCAAGCTTCTTCGGACACTAGACACACCTTAGCAAAAGTTTGAGAATCATTGGTATTAAGTATTGCCGCTTCTTGAGCAAGTTGCTGTTGAACGGGACGTTCAGAAGTAGTTGGCACTCAACGAATGCTCGACTGCTGTTCGTTTCATGAGTCATTGGCCCCGCCCCCTTCCGTTTCAGTGGGACCTTGTGTGCGGCGACGACTTCGCCCCCACCCTGGCCCTGGTTCTCTTCGGCATCAGCGGCCTCGTCGGCAACTACATCTTCGGCTACACCCAGGACCGTCTGGGTCGCAAAACCGCTTACTTCATCTACCTCTTCATTCAGTGCGTCTTTGGGATAGCGACCGCGTTCGCGAGAAACTTCCCTATGTGGCTCACGTTCCGCATCGGGGTGGGGTTCACTATCCCCGCCATCTTGGGCACGCCGGGAGTGTTGGCGATCGAGCTGGTCGGTCCGAAGGATCGCACCACCGTCACCATCTTGGTGAACATCGCTTACTCGCTGTCGCTGGTCACCCTGGCCGGCATCGTGTGGGCCATCAGGCCGTGGAGGTGGATGGCCGTCGCGACGACCGCGCCCCTGACGCTGCTCTTCTTCTTCTGGTGGGTGCTGCCGGAGAGTCCGAGGTGGCTGTTGGCCAGAGGCCGCGTCAAAGAAGCGGAGCTCATTTTGAACAAGATGGCGAGGTGAGTCGATGACCCTCGAAGGCTCGGTTTAAGACCCTCTTCTGGTCAATACCGGCGATCAATGTCTAAAAACATTTTGAACACTACGTTTCGGCTAGAAAGTATCACTTTTAGACAATGGAAGTTCGAAACGCCGGTATCGATCACGACTTAGAAACTCAGGTGCGCGAATTTCAATTCGCTTATAAAAAAAACCCGGGCCGGACGGGCATAAAAAAGGCCCTGACCCCCGCCGCCGCCGCCGCCGCCGCCCCCGGCGTCGTTTAAAAATTCCAAACAAGTCCGAGAACGAAGTCGACTTGAAAAGTGGAATTGAGTTATCCCGGCGCCAAAGGGAATTTTAAATAGCCCGCTCAAGGGGCCTTCTAGAGCGGATTGGATTTTGCACGTAGGGTATTATATTTGAATACGTTGTTAATTTATTTTCGGAAAGAGCTTTGATTCCAAAGCCAAATCCAAATGCGAAGTAAATGGTCTTAATGATCACACTCTCGAAATTAAAGATATCTTCTTCTTGCCATATCAATTTTGAACCACCGTTTTTGAGCCAAGATGTTCTTCTTCTTCTTTGGCCTCGTCTTCCCTCAACCATGCTCTGAATGATCAACTGCTGGATGTTGTATGTTTCAGGATGTTTCATAACATGAGAGTTTCTTAATCTTAAGCTTGATGTTAGCAATGATTTGTTTATTTTCCAACTCAACTTGCGCCTGCACACACACATTTCAAAAGCTCGCAGCTTTTTTACAGTAGTCTCTGTGAGAATCTAACATTTTACTCCATGCAACAGGATTGAGACTGAGATTGGATTAAAACGTCTCGTTTTCTACAGTTCTGGGGTATCCATTCCACTACTTTCTTTAGAAGTCTTCTATCGTCCATTCTTTGAACGTGACCGTACCATATTAGTTGTTTTCTTTCAATATCGGTACTATTCGTTGTTTAATTTCTTCATTGCGGATCCTGTCTCTTCTAGAAATTCTCAGTGTTCTCCTAAAGACGTCCATTTCTACCGCTGCAAGTCTCCTTCGATTATCCTCCGTTATCCTCCACGTTTCTGCGCCGTTTAGTAGACTGCTTTTTACCAGTGTCTCATATATATTGATTTTCCGCTTCTTTCCCATCTCCGTACTCCAAAATATGGATAGTAAAGTTCTAGGTAGACGAAGTGTAGGACGCCGAAGAATCTCGTGGTTGCGCAATCTTCAAGAATGAACTGAACTGAATAAACTATTTTATTGGTTTCAGGGTGAACGGTAAAAAGCTTCCGCCCCACTTCATCGCTAGGGCGTCGGAGAAGCTCACGCATCAATCGTCCGCAGAGCACCGCAAAAGGTACGGTCTCAGAGACTTGTTTTCCTCGACCAACCTCGCCATCAAAACCGTCATCATCACTTTCCTGTGGTTCACCAACACGAGCGTCTATGTGGGGCTTTCGTATTACGCCCCCGCACTGGGTGGCGACGAGTTTCTGAACTTCTTCTTGGCGGCGGCTGTGGAGTTCCCCACCTACCTCTTCCTGTGGCCCGCGATGGTGAGGCTGGGCAGACGATGGACGCTGTGCATCAGCATGGTGGTGGGGGGAACCTCTTGTCTGGCCACGTTCTTAGTACAGGACGGTAAGCTAAGCTCCGCTGCTATTAGAACCGATTACTTTGCTCTCGATATTAGCGAATATAGAAAGTTTTGGGAACAATCTTGAATAATGAAACTTCGATCCCAAGAAGCATTTTGAAGTTGTCATAGGTCACCTGACTTCTTAGGTAACATGTGTGTAGGCGGGGTTAAAGGAGGGGCATGATTATGAACTGCTGCTGCGTTTGTTTGTCGTAATTTTAATGCTCTTTTAGCTTAGATGATTTTTGGGTGTCTCAAACAGAATTTTGTCATTGAAGTATCAAAAATGTTTGTACAAGTATTAAATTTGGTTTTAATATTATATTTCCTATCAACTTATATGTGGCCAGTGATGTTTTCGATCTCAGAAAGGACAACAGCTTATAGCTTTAAGAGCAAAGCAGTCATCAATATGCCTCAGAAACTGATATCTTATCTTAAAATTGTTGATTAATAGAACATTTTTAAAGGCTTCGTATCAAATGTGTTAAAACTATTTATGCTTGAACAAAACATATTTTCTAATTGTTTTAAAATGATTCTATTTATTTATTAAAAATGCGAACGAATTTTATATTCATCTCAAGATATTGTAAATCAAGTAGTTGCGATATCATCAACCACTGCTCAGTTGCATTCTATCATCACAGATTTAGAACATCAAAATTAAATTCTAGTAAAATATAATTTGTTGTCCAGAATACTAAAGCATTTTGACAACATTGTAGCTGCTGTAATAGGTGTGTAAATAGAGAAATAACGTTGTTTTTTTCGACGACTTTTATATATTACATATCAGAAGTGTAGTATAAAAATAATTTCAAACAGATTTATTTTATAGGTATGTCGAAAAAGGTGAAAATGATTTAATTCCAATATCCATGTTTTCATAAATTGGTTAAGGCTTTCGCGGCCCGTTGATAAGCTATTATCTTCATTCGGGTTTAAAGGCCGTCGTCGATTGGAATTACTTCCTAACGTTTCGCTAGCACGAGTGGCGAGCTTCTTCAGAGGTCCTTCCATCTCCGATGTTGGACGTAGACTCAGTCTACGTCCAACATCGGTATTTGCTAAGGCTTAAAAAAACTGTTTTGTCCAAGTTTTTTTTTACAGAAATACTATTAACACGAACATAAGCGCACTACTCACCAGTTTAAATTATTTTAATTGTTCAAAGAACACAAAATACAACTGTTTAATACACCTTCAAATGCATTGACAGAATACACAAAAACCGTTAGAGGACTTCGCTTACGTCCCAAGCGACCACGTGCTATCGATAATTTTGGCGAACGTATGTCTTATGAGATTGGGCAATCCTATTGGGTTTACGATTAACCCAAGTCACAGAGTACAATTTTTGTCAAACATATACATGGTCACAGACCAGTGATAATTTTTCATATGAATACTACGAACGATTCGTCATTCATATGAATAGGTTATGTGTGGAAAAGGTCACACGAACTTCAATAATTCTGTTTAGAATATTATGTACCAACGTTTTGTGGGAAGCGAGGTTCTTTTTCATTCAATGTTAATCGTTAAAATGGATAAAATATATCTTCGCATTGCCCGTTCAAAACAATTAGAAGTAAAACCCTCTTCCTGGCTTTACAGCAGGCATATACAGGCAGAAGTGAGGTTATGATTGATTCTTAAACCATTGTTTCGGAAATTCGCCATTGTTATTTAGCTTTTAATAGCGATAAACTAACCGGGTAACGATAAAAAAGTGACACCTGGTTGAAATTTGCATCCGCATGGACGGATGATGTACCTCGCGATGGGGTCGGCAAATGTCTGCGGTTTCGGGATATTGATTGGACCGATAAATCAGTGCGGGAATAAACCATAATTCAAATCCTCCAGGACGTTCGGATAATTTACGACCGCCTTTTCAGATTATGCCACAACGCTGGTGCTCTACTGCGTGGGCAAGATGGGGATATCCTCGTCGTTCGTCGTCCTGCCGCTTATGGCATCGGAGCTCTACCCGACAGTCGTCAGGGGCATGGGTATGAGCCTGAGCTCGGTCATAGGCATGCTGGGTCCCATTTTTATACCACTTGTCAATTACATGGTGAGCATAGTAAAAAAATTTGTCAAAAAAAACTTCCACGGGCTGCTGTAATACTTTTGGGTACTTCTGGCGTCGGCGTCGTTACTTTTAGTACCTGTTTCGCTTTGCTTATGGATGTCTTTCTAAAGGCAAGGAAAGGCTAATAGATCGGCCAGCCAGTCCAATTATGACTGACTTTTTTTGGGCTATGGGACGTTGGGAGTTTTAACGTATCTTGATGGCCAAGTTTTTTTAGTGTACCACATCCCCAATCCCACAAATAACGTCCAGCGAAATTAAGCTATAACCGTTGTCTTTCGAACGGAGATCGAGTCCAAGAAACTATTGGTCTAAGAGGGATAGATTTTTTGTGGGTAATCCATAAATTCTAGGAGATTGTGAGTGGAGAACTTTTAAGCCTTGTGCTGTACTATGGGAGATAGATAATTTTTTTCCCACGTGGATACCAAGTCGTTATTTTTTTTTGGAAAGAATCTAATTCCCCGTCAACAGATTGTTTCGAGTATTACCAACATCAACTTTACCCTAATTAAAGCTCTAAAAACCCTGTATGAAGAATCCACATCTGAGATAAAGATAGGTAATATATATTCTGAAAAATTCCTGATGAATAAGGGTTTACGGCAAGGCTGCTGCATATCATCTACATTATTTAAGATGCAACGGTAACGGTATGTGCATCTACCTTGGGGGTACATGTTTTGTATACCCTACAATTTGCGGATGATCATGGGCAATGATAAAGCGATCAACACGCAGAAAACCAAATACCTACCGATTGGCGCAGAATCGTCTACTGTATAACTAGAAAATGAGAAGATACAGCCTTGCAGTGATATTTGATGCAACTGGCAAAGATGACGAGAATATCAAAAAACGCATAACTCAAGCTAGACGAACAGTTGGCTGTCTGAATAAAATATTTTGGAGTACGAAGATGGGAAATAAACGGAAAATCAATATATATGATACATTGGCAAAAAGCAGTCTACTATACGGTGCAGAAACGTGAAGGATAACGGAAGCCAATCGAAAGAGACTTGAAGCGGTAGAAATGGACGCCCAAAGAAGAACACTGAGAATTTCTAGAAGAGACAGGATCCGCAATGAAGAAATTAAACAACGAATAGGAATAGATGGCTCTCTGTCATAATAACGGTCTTATTTGTCTTATCTGGAATTAAAACTTTTAATTCCTTATGTTGTTTTAGGAAAATTTAGCTTTTTGATCTTACCTCGTCTTTTGTTTAGGTACTTAAAACATTTATTGATGATTCTATACTCCGGATAATATCAAAAATGGGCAGCTCATCGCTGGTCTCTAAAGGAGTTGCAATATTAGGTCCAAGACTCAATACTTCATTTACATCCTCGGGTATGTTTTCATTCGTAAGATTTCCTACCGAATTGGTGGCATCAATATCTTGGCTGCTGCAGATAATTTTTCAAGTTTGTTAATGTTTTTTTTGTTTGATATATTGTCAAATAAGTCTTCCGGCATCAGAGTCTTTTTCTATTTCTTTTTTAATTTTTCGATGTTTTTCGTGGTTTCAGTGATTAGCAGTACTAAAAACAAAATTTTTCATAATGCTCTCCCTGAAATTTTTCTTTAAGTGTTTACAATTAAAAGTTATGTGTAAAAATTAAGAAACACGGGTGTTACACCGTTATTTTTGCATCGAAGGAGAAATATTCTCCTGTTCTTTTGATTATAAAAAAATCTTATAAAGTAACAGTCATATTTTAAATTTTAGACCAAGAAAACAATTATGTGAGTAACTTGTTCTCTCACATTTTAACTACTGTGATGTAGTGTATGGTTCTTTTATTGATAACGAGTCTAAGTTTGCCGAATGCTTGTGTTCGTTTTATTATGGGTCTTCGAAAATATGACCCTGTACCTGCTACATATCGTAAACTTAATTGGCTTAAAATGGAACAAAGAAGATCGGTTCAACATATTCGTTATGAAAATTATCCATAACCTCGATTCACCCACTTTGTTGAGAGAGCGGCTTACTCCTAGGAGTACTATCCATTCTGTGAATGTAAGACACAGGTACAGATCAAAGATGCCACATCATCAGAGTGCCTTGTTTCGCAGATCTTTCACATTCAATGCAATTCGTGTTTATAATTTTTTGCCACAGGAATTCAGTAACTTAAATTTATATTCATTTAAAAAAAGGTTCATAGATCATTTGTTACAAATACGGTTTTCCTAATAATGTGTTACTAATTATAGTATTAGCAAGGGATTATATTGAGTTATCAAATTCTTTATCTTCAATTGCATTTTCTGTAGTGTGTAGTAGAGTTATGTGGTTCTTCCGATTTTGCAGGTATTTAAATAGTTATTTAGCGGTTCAGTGGAGCTATCTGTTTACTTTGTTTTGAAAAATATTAATATTGTATATGTATATTGTATATATATATATATATATATATATATATATATATATATATATATATATATATATATATATATATATATATATATATATATATATATATATATATTTATAAACGACTTAAAAATTACCAACGGCTTCTATAAACATAAAGACATCCACAAATACACCTGGATACAAGAAACTAGGAATCTAAGATCCATAATAGATTACATAGTTGTTAGGATAACTACAACAATTAAGATACAGGATGTAAGAGTTAAAAGAAGCGCTGAATGTGGAATCGATCATCGACTAGTAGTTGCGTACATGCACTTTCCTTGGTATGGAGTAGCAAAGAAAAACAAAGAAGAGATAGCAAAACAAGAACAACAAAAAGACAACCAAAACAACCAGGAAATAAAAGAGAAAAGATTTAAAATTCACCTCCTAGAGGAAGAAACAATAAGAGATTTGTACAGACGTAGACTTGATGAAAAACTAATAGAGTTCAATTTTAATAATTTAACAGACACTTACGAACACGTGAAGAAGAGCATTAAAGAGGCAGCTTATGAAGCATTAGGAGAGGAAGACGGAAAGAACAAAAAATATACAGAAGAACTTAGTGAGGAAGCTATTGCAGCTATTCAGGAAAAAAATCGCTTACACCAAAAATGGCTCTGTACAAATTCGGGAGAAGACCTACAGAAATATAAGGACAAAAACAGAGAAACAAAAAAACTAATTAGTAAAGAAAAAAATGAAAAATGGGATAGACTCTGCCAAAACATACAACAGTATACAGGAGGTACAAGATGCTCGGAATCATGGAGAACAATAAGATCTGTCAGATCAAATACCAAAGAGAAAGTCAATATACAGTTTATCAAAGAAACCGAATGGGAAAATTATTATCAACAACTACTAACGGAGACACGACCACAATTCTGGCAACAACTAACATACCAAATACAACCTAACAACAATCTAAAGCATGTAACAATAGAAGAAAAAGAAATAATAAAAGCCATTAAAGAATTAAAAAACAAAAAATCACCAGGGCCAGGGGGGATAGCGAATGAACTTATTAAGTATGGGTCGGACAAATTATTCAGAATATTGAAAAACATGTTTGAAAGAGCAATAAATGGAGAAACGTTACCAAGGGAGTGGAATACGGCATATATAAGCTCTATTTTCAAGAAGGGGGATCGTAGGAAGTGTACCAACTACAGAGGAATTAGCATTATATCAAGCATGGGAAGACTATATGGAAAGATAATCAAAAACAAAATAGAAGACCAGATAATAGGGAAAATAGGTGAAGATCAAGCCGGTTTCACGGCAGGGAAGTCATGCGTTGATCAGATATATACGGTAAGGCAGACTATCGAAAAGAAAAAAACTAAAAACAGAGACATCCATTTAGCATTCATAGATATAAGAAAAGCTTATGACTCTATACCCAGACAACAACTTTGGAAAGCAATGGAATATATTGGGATAGAAAGAGAACTAATAAAAGCCGTAGATACAATGTACAAGAACAACGAGTTGTCGGTTAAAATAGGTAATAGGTACACAAATCGATTCACAACATCAAAGGGCCTACTACAAGGATGCCCTACATCAACAACGTTGTTTAAAATCTATCTTGAGAGGACGCTAACACAATGGAAAAGAAAATGTCAAGGTATGGGAGTCCCAGTACGCGACGACCACTTATACACCCTAAGCTTTGCCGACGACCAGGTGGTCATAGCCCAGGATGAAGACGACTTGAGTTACATGCTCAGAAAGCTGAAAGAGGAATATGAGAAGGTAGGTTTGGAAATAAACTTCGAAAAGACAGAATATCTAACAACAAAAGAAGGGGAAATCGAAGATTTAGAAATAGATGAAAACACAACCGTAAAAGCAACAGACAAATTTAAATACTTAGGGTGTATAATAACAAAAGATGGATCAACAGAAGAAGAAATCAAATCTAGACTAGGTCAGGGTAGAACATGTATAAAACAACTGAACTCCATTATATGGAACAAGAAATTAACAAAGAAAACAAAAACAACAATATTTAAGACAATAGTAGAAAGTATAATTACATACGGAGCAGAAACCTGGCTATTGAACAAAAAGAACAAATCTAAAGTAACCGCCGTCGAAATGGAATATTGGAGAAGGTGTTGCCAACGAACACGCATGGATAGAATACGTAACGCAGAAATCAAGAGGCAAATGAATGTAGAAAAAGACTTATTAACTACAATAGCAGAAAAACAGCTTAAATGGTATGGTCATGTCAGACGAAGTGACGATAGACGGTGGATAAAGAAAATCACAGAGTGGAGCCCTATGGGACGTAGAAAGAGAGGAAGACCCAGAAGATCGTGGAGGGATGAAATAGATGAAGCCATGGAGGAAAGGGGGTTGGAAGACGGAGATTGGAATGACAAAGATGAATGGAGAGTCTGGTTGAGAGAGGGAAAACGGCGCGAGCTGTAACAAACCCCATATATATATATATATATATATATATATATATATATATATATATATATATATATATATATATATATATATATATATATATATATATATATATATATATATTATCATCATCATCATCTTTTGTTTACAGGTCTACAGTGATTTTGATGTTTGAAAGCTTATTTGTGTATTTTTGGGTGCCCTTATTCCCAAAAAAGCCATATTTTTGTTCTATCGCATCATTTTCGGATAGCGCTCTATATCTTAAAAATGTTATTTCGTTAATATACATGAAAATATGTTTGTTCCATGTTATTAAACGTGATTTGGCAACACTGGATAATGTTATATTTGTTTGCAAACCAACAGAGTTGGCGCAGAAGGGTCAATATAGCGTTGTAACATGCTTGTGCGCAGTTTGGTGTATTGTGTTGTCTTCGTTGTTGCGCATTTCTAATAGAACCTATAAATATGAAAAGGAGGCATTGAGTGGAGAATCCAGATAACTTTTGTTATGTCTGTAGTAGTTATGTCGTAGTAAAGCAAAAGCAAGCTGTAACTTATTTTGTGAAACACGTATACCACGCTTATTTCGGTGTAAAAATTGGCTACCAAGACAAGTTTTGGTTGAAGCGTTGAGAAACTGGCAAAAAGTTAGGAAGAAATGTTTAACCTTTGGTGTTGCTCTGGTATGGCGAGAGCCTAGGAATCACAGTGATGGTTATATTTGTTCATGTAATGTTCAAGGATTCAACAGAAAGAATAAGAAACAAATTGTATATCCCAATCTTGACTCTGCTATTAGATTAGTTTCTCATGGACCAGGTGTATTACCGCCTCAAAAGAACTAGATAACGAGCGCTCACAATGTTTAACCACAGCGAATGAAATGATTTATGAAGAGATTTGCACCTTCCAAAGGATGCATCCGAATTGTTAGCATCCAGACTTCCTGGCAAGCATTTACTGACACCTGGCGTCACATCGAGCTTTTACCAGGATCGCGAAAAAAGTTATGTCAATATTTTACTCAGGAAGGACCGCTAGTGCATTGCACCGATATTCCTGACTTAGTTTCATAGTTTCAAACTGCCCTCGGTACAATACATTTAAAAGAAACATCAGTGGATGCTTTTTGGTGACCCTAAAGTGCTGTGCATGCTCCTAGGACAGGGGGAACATTGTTTTTTTTTATTAATTGTTCAAAGAAACTTCCACAGGCTACCGTAATACTTTTTATAAGACTTCTGGATTCCTCCTGCGTCGGTTTTTGTTGACTCGAACTACCTTACGTTTCGCCAATCAACCTTCTTCAGAGCTTGACTGAAACTGACTCTCATTTTATTCTGTACCTGCTTATACATTGTTTGAAGGGGCGGAGCTAAATCAGGGGCATAAACACCGTCTCGGGGTCGCGGTTAAGATTGTTAGGTTTTATCGAATAAAATTTTATGACTGATTATGTTCGGCAACTGCTGATGAGTTTATTTCTCTTAGTCTTAAGGCCCTTTCATGTTCCTTGAGCCTGGTTGATGTTTTTCTTCCGGTCTCTCCAATGTATTCTTTGCCGCATATGCATGGAATGCTCTAAACCCCTGCCATCTCAAATAGAATTTTGTCTTTGACGGATCGAAGATGTTGAGAGATTTTTGGACAAGTGGTAAATCTGGTTATATTTCTTTAGAACTAGACAACAGTGGCAAGTGTGGCATTGCTTTCGGTTTCATTGCTATTGGAATGTTGTGGTAAAGTGTATTTTGTGATAGAACGCTTAATATCTTTAATGTGGATATTATTAGAGAGAAAAGCGTAAGGTGTTTTAATTCTGGGTTCAATGACTCAAGCTCAATAAACTTCATTTATTATTATTATTAATTATTATTATTATTATTATTATTATTATTATTATTATTAATTATTATTATTAATTATTAATTATTATTATTAATTATTATTATTATTATTATATTCTTGGGGAAACGTTTTTTTTAGGGTTCCGACATGATAATCCTGCCCCTGATAATAATGGGCAGTCTGCTGGTCACCGGGGGGCTGTGCTCCCTATTGCTGCCCGAGACGATCAACCAACACCTGCCGCAGACGTTGGCAGACGCGGAGAAGACCAAACTCGACTTTTTCGCCTGCTGCAACCCGCCGCAGCTGGAGAAGCAATGCGCGCGCGAGCGCACCAACTGCGAGAGCAAATTGTGAAAAAAAACACCGACGCTTTAATTATTAATAAATACTGCTTTATTTTCAATATATACATTCACACGGTTCTACACAAAGAATTGGCACTGCACACAGTATATTTTTTTGTAGCGACATCTTTCGTTTTGGTTAGTGAAGTCTGCATCTGAAACAAACGAATGACGTTGGTCAGTGGGCAGTAAACTTTGCTATTGATGATTTGGCAAGACGACAACACCGCACGATAAGGAACAATTGGGCCCTGGTCAATAATTAACACCTCTTTATTCTGCAAAATCCGTCCACCCCAATGTCGACTCTAGATCTTGAAGATTTCAATTCGTAAGAAAAATGCGGAATAAAAATATATACTCTGCATTTTAGCATAAAACTTTCAACGCACTTGGTTGACACACTAGATTATGCAATTTTTGTAAATAGAGTTAGAGTTAGCCAATGAAGCTCGGGCACTCCGCAAAAAGATTTTGAAAAAGTTAAAGGCAGTGACAAATATGAGCGCTTGACTTTTGATACTCGCAAATATTGTAGCTCGGGGTATACAATGCTGGAATTCACAGCTGTAAAGAAGATGGCGGATATTGTTACGCACATTTCCTGAGAACCGAAACATCTGTCGTATCCGATTCCGCGACAAAAGAACATCGACGGTCAGTAGTTGCATCGTACGGTCTAGGCCCGCCCCACCGCCCGAGCAACAGGCCAGGACCGGCCCCTTCGCCCGCGCAAGAAAGCGGTTTTCTTCTCCCTGGTCCAATTAACTAAAATGTCACAGTCAGAACCCCGGCCGCATGCTGAAATACCCCTCGACGTATTCTAATGCCTCTCCCCTGTCTCTGACAGCTCCTAGAAGTGTTTTGTTCCCGTTCTCGCGTTGTTCGCGCGGAAAAAGACATTTAGAAGCCCATAGGAAAAAATGTTCTCAAAAAATGCCGGAATCTAAGTTTAGTCGAATAGGATTCGACGTCAGAATTTTTCCTTAAATTTTTTGTTGTAGTCTTGAAGCTCTTTCATGTTCCTTCCTGCTGGCGTATCAAACGGAATTTTGCCTTTCTTGTACAGGGTGACTATTAGTTTAAATCGTAGATCTTTTTTCCTGATTTCAAAAACATATAGTTTATTGACATTTCATTTAGCCGTTTTTGAGATATGTCAGTTTAAAAATAATTATTATTCGATTTCTGGACAATAGCCATACTGTTTAAAAATGGTCGAGTCTGCCTTGATAGCAACCATATTATCAATTGTCTTAACAATGTTCTGCTTTTGACTACTATTCGAAACTAAAGATCTGCAGCGTAAGTTAAATAACTTAAGATATTTGAAAATCAATGGTGGGTTGTTTTCTATCCCCATAGCATTTAGATCCGCTTTGATATTATCTGACCACCTCATTCAATGCAGTGTTTCTTGGCCGACTCTCCATCAACTCTCCAATAGTATTGATTAATAATAATAATATTAGTATTTAAGAGTTTCAGGTTGACAGTTTTTGTCTGATATAGCTGGACAATGTGGAATTCTTACTAAGTTACCTGTCCTTGTTTGGTGATCATAAATATCCCAATTTGGAATTAACAAATCTCTCCTCCTATCAATCTCCAGCTAACTGTGGTGAATCAAGAGAGTAGGAAGGGGCATTTTTTAAAAGAGCGACAAAATGGCTGGCATTGTTCGTTATGACCGACTCCTGCCATCAAGCGAATGGCTCTGTTTCGAAGGTGAAGGTAAAGATAGCAAAGTATGCCCTACAAGATTGACCCATCGGGTGCACCATATTTGATTGGGACACTTTGAGAAACAAACTCATTATAGAGTCCGCACTGGTATCTATTGAAGAGCTTCAGGACGGTGTGCGACTCACCTTCCAAGCTCCAATTATCTTGAAAACTCGGTAGTAGACCCACCACCAGCAACCAAACTGGGTGTCACTGAGAAGCAAGTTGGACTGCATAGGACGACAGTTCTCCAGCTGCTGGGGATCTCCTTTCTTAAGGGGGGGAGGGGCACCTTAGAGAATATAAAACAACCTGGGTATACACCATCTGTGAAGCAGCGATTTATAAGGTTTATGAAAGTAGGTGACAAAAAAGTTTCCTTCAACATAATACTGCTTATCGAGTGGAGCTCCTTCTTACCTTTACTTTAAATTTCTTGATTGGTTCTTACTCGCAGTTCTTTGGGCAGAATTCAGGTTTTGATCTTTTTGGCGTAACCAAACCACATTCTACACTATCAATGCTTCTAATAATAGAAATTAAGAACGAAGAAGAAATATTTCTACAGAACTTCTGCCTAACCAACTAACCAAACATCCCAGAGCTCAACGTCCCTTCATTTTTTCTTCCTAGAGTCATAAATCTTTTTAGTGCTTTTTGAATCAAAAATTTCTTTTATATTGATAATTGAACAAGTATCCCAAATGTGTTTATTAATTAACGCCGAACGTTTGTGAAACGTTGTAATAACTTTCTATTGTTTTATATTATACTATATTTAATTTATCAATGAATTTATAATTTATAACTTATAGTTTCAAATTTAAACATTTAAGAGGTTAAGTGGAGTAGCTTTTGCTAGACTTCGCCTCTTCTCTACTGTATATTTGTATATAATAATATACAAGAATGAAGGCAATTTATTATTATTATTATTATTTTTCTCAATTCACAATTAATTTCCATTTGTCAAGAACAATCCCTGTCCTTCAGACTAAATGGTTTATATCTCCCTATCCACATGGGATGATGTGGGCTGTCTTAAGGAGAGTAGCTTTTTGCAGTGTCGCAATGGTGTCTTCGTCGTTACCCGGTATTTTATTGAGTGTCGCCGCAAGGTTTTTGTGGATAGTTCCTGTCGCTCCGATAATGACGGGGACAATAGTTGTTTTAGGCCCCCACATTCTCAGTACTTCGATATATGTATATTGTAATGTTAGTTTTTGGCCTTTGTTCATCAGTGTACATTTTTCTTTTCTCTCCATTTCATTGTAATTTATTAACTCCACAAGCCTATTATCTTTTTTTCCCCATAAGTAGTTTGTGATCCCTATAATTGTCAAGTGGTAAGTATGCTCATTGCTGATATACCGCTCCTGATAGCGATTGTCCCCTGCGTTCATGATTGTTCCCTTCGCGTTGATTGTTAGGTGTGTTTTGTATAGTTGGAGAGGCTTTAGAAGCCATGAGTGTCGCACACTATCAAAGGTCTGCACATGCTCAAGTTTTCAAGTGAAGATGTTCTCTACGCCCGTAGCTTTCTTTCTTGGGGACCAGTAGTGTCTTGCCTTCAGTTATTCAATCCGGCATATTATTACTACTATAATTATAATTAGAATTATAATTATCATTGTATATAATTATAATTATAATTAGAATTATGAAAATAATAATAATAATAATAGTTATAAATATCTGACGTCAAAACCCTGTATACTCAGCATCGGCAACCGAGAACCCTCTAATTAAACAGACCCCGGAGCGGCGGTTGAAAAACGAGAGCAGCCCGCCCAAAGTACGTCGAGAGGGGCTAAAGCGATTAATACGTGTGTTTGTAGTTCTGACATTGATTACGGGCGTTCTAACGAGCAAAAGCGGCCCCGTCGCCGTCTCTGTTTGATCACGATGGGATTATTGGCTCGCGGAGGGGCCCGACGCGCCCCCGCCGCCCTCAACGTAACGACAGAAAAATTACGCGGATCTGAATCCCCGGCTTTGACCTTCTGCGAAATCGTGCTGACGTCACCAGTCCGCCGCAAAGGTGATCTGGTATTTTGCAACCCTTTACGACGCTTTCCCTGTCAGTTAAACCCAAAACGAAAGCAAAATACGCGGTTCAAACAGAAGGGGGCGATTTTTGGCTCCATTTTAACACGAAAACTTCATACGTATAGTACGACCAAAAATATAGTGCATTTATTGCTTTGACGTTTTAAGAATTTTACAGTACTTTATCCTCAGACCTTCGCATGACCGTTGTAAAACCCATCCCAAAAGATGTTTATTCTGCAATAAGTAGGTCTTGCCTTAGATGGACTGCTTTAAATTTAATTAACCATTATTGTAACATCAGGTGATATGTATCGTACTTAAGAGGAGTGTGTTTGTATATATTACGGAGTTATTTGACTGTGATCCTTCCAGTAAGTACGTATTTATGCACTTAATTTTCCAGCTTTGACTTATGAAAGTTCCTGTTTTTTAACACTTTAGAATGTGAATGAAGCAGATTTCCCCCTGTTAGAAGAAGACATGGAAAAAATGCAGAATTTGAAGACGAAGTGGGGTTGGTAGTCGAACCTAATGACAATTTAGAAGCAAATAAAAAGCGGATCCATTAGTCTTCGGATGCTAAACAAATTGTTTTGAATTCGATAGTATATATATATATATTATATATATATATATATATATATATATATATATATATATATATATATATATATATATATATATATATATATATATATATATATATATATATATATATATATATATATATATATATATATATATATATATATATATATATATATATATATATATATATATATATATATATATATATATATATATATATATATATATATATATATATATATATATATATATATATATATATATATATATATATATATATATATATATATATATATATATATATATATATATATATATATATATATATATATATATATATATATATATATATATATATATATATATATATATATATATATATATATATATATATATATATATATATATATATATATATATATATATATATATGATGACACTATACTCCGGGATATCATCCGTTCGCTCGTTGAACTCCGACTGGAATCCTGCATCCGACTGGAATCCTGCAAATCCTGCATCCGACTGGAATCCTGCAGACGTTTCGCCAAAATCTCACTTGGCATCTTCAATGCTCGCGCTCCGAAAACACTTCGAACGCGAGCATTGAAGATGCCAAGTGAGATTTTGGCGAAACGTCTGCAGGATTCCAGTCGGATGCAGGATTTGCAGGATTCCAGTCGGATGCAGGATTCCAGTCGGAGTTCAACGAGCGAACGGCTGGAATCCTGCATCCGACTGGAATCCTGCATCCGACTGGAATCCTGCAAATCTTGCATCCGACTGGAATCCTGCAGACGTTTCGCCAAAATCTCACTTGGCATCTTCAATGCTCGCGCTCCGAAAACACTTCGAACACTGGGAGGTTATCGGCGGTGCGTGCGGTATTTATACTCTGCGCCGGAGATGGTAACGGTGCTGCTTGTGCGTGGGGGGAGGTGGCTCCGCCCCCTGAATTGTCGCGTTGTTAATTTCGCCCGATCGTAGTTGCGCCGTTGGCTGCTGCGCATCGCTCTGCTGTTTGATTATCGTTCTCCACGTGTTGGATAAATGCAGAGCGTCGTCTCTCGTATTGAGGTGTCCGGACTTTTCTATTTCGATGGCCTCTCGTATAATCCTAGTCCTAAAATCAGGAATGTTAGCTATTTGTTTGCAAGTGCCGAAATCAATTTTATGGCCTGTCTGATGTTGGTGCTGAAACAAAGCAGATGTTGTTTGTTTGTTTCTTATGGCTAAACGATGTTCCTCGAGCCTGGCTGAAATCCTTCTGTTGGTCTGTCCCACATACGTCAGGCTGCACGATCCGCATGCTACACTGTATACTCCTTGGTTTTCCAGAGTAATTTTTTGTTTTGGGTTTCTTAGTATTGCTCCGATGGTATGGTCAGGTTTGTATGCTGTTGATATGTCGTGTTTCCGTAATATTCGGCCGATTTTGTCAGTAACCCCCTTGATGTATGGCAGAACAGCGATCGATCTTCGTTGGGTCTCGTCCTGCACTCTCTGCTGCGGCTGTTGTTGTTTACTGATTGCCTTGCTGATGGTGCGCCTTTGGTATCCGTTTTGTTGAAGACAGGTACTAATTTTCTTCAGTTCTTTATCTCTGTTCCTCTCGTTTGTGAGCCTGAAGGACCGAGCAATTAATGTATTTGCCACTGCCTGTATTTGTGATGGGTGGTGATGAGATTTAGCGTTCAGATATCTATTAGTGTGTGTTGGTTTTCTATAGACAGTGTGTTCCAAGTGTCCATCTTCGGTCCTTGTGATGTGCACATCTAAAAAGGGCAGACTGTTATCCTCTTCAAGTTCTATTGTAAATTGAATCCTTGGGTGAATGGAATTCAGATGATCTAGGAATTTCAAAAGCTCCTCCTTGCCAAAAGGCCATACAACAAATACGTCATCAACGTATCTTGTCCATAGTTTTGGCTTCAGATTTGCCTTCTCTATTGCTTTCTTTTCGAAGTAAATCATGAAGAGGTTGGCAATCACAGGTGAGAGAGACGATCCCATTGCTGCTCCATCTATTTGTCGGTAAATTTTCCCGTTGTGCATAAAGTAAGCGTTTTTCAGGCAATGTCTTGACAGATCCATTATGTATGGCGGAAGATCTTCGTTTTCTTCTATAAGCAAGAGTGCCTCTTCTACTGGAATACTCGGGTAGAGGGATTTGACATCGAAACTTGCCATAATGTCGCCCTTGTCCATCCTGAGAGAACCTAGAATCTCAGATTTTGGCAAGTTTCGATGTCAAATCCCTCTACCCGAGTATTCCAGTAGAAGAGGCACTCTTGCTTATAGAAGAAAACGAAGATCTTCCGCCATACATAATGGATCTGTCAAGACATTGCCTGAAAAACGCTTACTTTATGCACAACGGGAAAATTTACCGACAAATAGATGGAGCAGCAATGGGATCATCTCTCTCACCTGTGATTGCCAACCTCTTCATGATTTACTTCGAAAAGAAAGCAATAGAGAAGGCAAATCTGAAGCCAAAACTATGGACAAGATACGTTGATGACGTATTTGTTGTATGGCCTTTTGGCGAGGAGGAGCTTTTGAAATTCCTAGATCATCTGAATTCCATTCACCCAAGGATTCAATTTACAATAGAACTTGAAGAGGATAACAGTCTGCCCTTTTTAGATGTGCACATCACAAGGACCGAAGATGGACACTTGGAACACACTGTCTATAGAAAACCAACACACACTAATAGATATCTGAACGCTAAATCTCATCACCACCCATCACAGATACAGGCAGTGGCAAATACATTAATTGCTCGGTCCTTCAGGCTCACAAACGAGAGGAACAGAGATAAAGAACTGAAGAAAATTAGTACCTGTCTTCAACAAAACGGATACCAAAGGCGCACCATCAGCAAGGCAATCAGTAAACAACAACAGCCGCAGCAGAGAGTGCAGGACGAGACCCAACGAAGATCGATCGCTGTTCTGCCATACATCAAGGGGGTTACTGACAAAATCGGCCGAATATTACGGAAACACGACATATCAACGGCATACAAACCTGACCATACCATCGGAGCAATACTAAGAAACCCAAAACAAAAAATTACTCTGGAAAACCAAGGAGTATACAGTGTAGCATGCGGATCGTGCAGCCTGACGTATGTGGGACAGACCAACAGAAGGATTTCAGCCAGGCTCGAGGAACATCGTTTAGCCATAAGAAACAAACAAACAACATCTGCTTTGTTTCAGCACCAACATCAGACAGGCCATAAAATTGATTTCGGCACTTGCAAACAAATAGCTAACATTCCTGATTTTAGGACTAGGATTATACGAGAGGCCATCGAAATAGAAAAGTCCGGACACCTCAATACGAGAGACGACGCTCTGCATTTATCCAACACGTGGAGAACGATAATCAAACAGCAGAGCGATGCGCAGCAGCCAACGGGGACATCGCAACTACGATCGGGCGAAATTAACAACGCGACAATTCAGGGGGCGGAGCCACCTCCCCCCACGCACAAGCAGCACCGTTACCATCTACGGCGCAGAGTATAAATACCGCATGCACCGCCGATAACCTCCCAGTGTTCGAAGTGTTTTCGGAGCGCGAGCATTGAAGATGCCAAGTGAGATTTTGGCGAAACGTCTGCAGGATTCCAGTCGGATGCAAGATTTGCAGGATTCCAGTCGGATGCAGGATTCCAGTCAGAGTTCAACGAGCGAACGGATGATATCCCGGAATATAGTGTCATCATATATATATATATATATATATATATATATATATATATATATATATATATATATATATATATATATATATATATATATATATATATATATATATATATATATATATATATATATATATATATATATATATATATATATATATATATATATATATATATATATATATATATATATATATATATATATATATATATATATATATATATAAATTAAAAAAAAACGATGTTTCTGTCATTTTGGCAGCTTGCGATCGTTTTTTCTGACATATGTAACTTTTGAATTTACATTTTTATTCTATCTTGTAAAATTAACGCTGTAGGTGGGTGTCGAAATATAACCGGAAGTGTCGGTTATCGGCAAATAACCTAAAATTTCCAATGATCGTCCTTTTCCGGAGGAAACTCTAACCAATCTGCAGAAAGAAAAGAACGTCGCTCACCATCACTCCCTAGTCACTTTGGCGGCGGTCTCGTAAGACGGCGGGTCCTCCTCGGTGATGAGCTTCAGCCTCACCATCTCCGACGCGGTATCGTACTCGACGCCCACCGTCGGCACGACGATGTTCTCCATCTCGACGCTGTCGGTCTTCGGGGGCGGCGTCGGCGTCAACCTACGCTCCCTCACCGACGGCACCCGGTGAATGGACGAAGGCAGCAGCGACTCCTGCTGGGTTTCGTTGTTTCCTGCAAAACGAACCCCTAACAATGTTTGGAAACTCCGAAATAGCATATTTTTTTGAAATGTAGTTTGGTGCCTTCAACATGTCATAATTTTCGCTCATTTCGGTAAAAAGTCCATTCAAATCCGTATCACCCTGTTGGAGAGGTGACAATTTAGATATCAGCAATTTTCGTCCCATTTCATTACTTTGCAATTTTTCTAAGGTTGTGATAATTATGCATACAGTTTTAAGGCTTCCACCAACTGAAATCTGCCATTCGTCGTAACAATGTTTTTCCCCGTGTTAACTCTAATGTCCTCAAACTTATAGAAACCGAAGTTTTTAATACATCCCTCCACAAAGTTGGGCAGATTCTGTTAAACATATAGAAAAAGCAGAACAATCGTATATCCATATTGCAAATAATATAGAACAAATAATAATTAGAACAGGCGATGATAGCGATATTGATACTGATATATTATGTTAATAATTTAAAGTAATTTAAGTAGGTAATAAAAATAATTTGTAATTTTATTTTAGATTTAAACACAAATACATACATAAATAAATAAATATTGTTTAGTATCTTTCCTAACAAAACCCCAAATAATTAAATTCTAAGCAAAGTACGGACCTGTTCGGCCATATTTCATTCTTACAGCTTGCCCGGGTCTTCCCTTAATTCGTATCAGTTAGTCACCTTCTTATATCTATGAACAGACTTTACCTTCTAATGTCAACTGCTGTAGGTTTCGGTTGATTTTTTTTCGTTTCATGTTTCACTTGTCTCCCAAAAAAATGTCCTGTTTCCCAAAAAAAGTAACACGTTAATTTTGTTTTCATTTTTAGCAGCGAGGATAAATTATATAAATAACAAATAATGTATATGTTCGAAAAATTCCATATCCTATATTTGAAAAAAAAAAGAAAATTTTGGCGAAAGATGGAAGTGCCTTCTGATGTCAACCGGTATACGTTTCGGTTACTAGTATACTCCACAGGGTAATGCGAATTTTCAGAAAAACACATAATACTTTTATTACACCCTGTAAAAATCGAACATGAACTTTTTATCTGTACCAGCGAAAACTGTGACATTGTCAAAGAAGCAACCTGCAATAAATTCAGAAAAAATGGCATCAGTCCAGGAGTTTATTTTTGTTCGGTTGTTGAATTTATTTTTGTTTCTTACTTTTTTTGGGATAATTATTCGTGTGACTGTTCTATTAGCTGAATAAACACATAATTATTGGCTCACCGTTGCATGTTCGTTCCGAGCGCCAGTTGGTGAACCTGCTGCTAGAGGGCGCGCGACGCGTCGACCCGTCGAAGCATGGCAGCACCTGCTTGAACTCCTTGCGGAAGTTTTCGTTGAGCCACGCGTAGAGGAACGGGTTGTAGCACGTGGACGACATCGCCATCTGATGGACGAGGAAAAAGCTGAGGAAATAGTAGTCCCACTGGATCATGTCCTTGTTGAAGTCGTTGATTATGTTGACCACGTTGAGGGGCAGCCACGAGAGCAGGAACACCGCGACCATGGCTATGAGCATGCGATTGGTGCGGCGTTTCCTTTCGCGGTCCGCCTCCTCCTTACGGGAGTTCTTGGTGCCGGGTTTAGCGCGCGCCCTGTCGTTGAGTTTGATCGATACGCAGATGTAGCAGAACGCCATGATGAGGAACGGTATGAGGAACTGGAACGCGGTGGTTATACCGCCGAAGATGGCGCGCCATTGCTCCACCGGCCAGCTCTCCTCGCAGTAGTACCTCGAAGGAGATGGAACGTTATCCCGGATTTAATCGACAATTCACGGCAGCGGACGTAGCAAAGCGCTCCCGATACGTAGAGGTAGCGAAGCGATCGGTTTTAGCAGAATTTGGTCTTGAGAGAGGAATTTGGTTAGGGGGTATTAGACAATGATGGTGAGTACGAAATTCCAACATAATAAGTATATTTTATTTGTTATTCTTTATATTATTATTAGTATTTACAAAATTTACAAAAAAACATTTTTTCAAGAGTTTTTTTTATTGGTATAATTAGACCTCTTTTAATAAGTTTACAAATATAGCTCTCGAAAATATTCTAAGAATACAGTCTTACAGTCTTCGTAATTCTTCAGATTTTTTGGTATTGGACACCTACCACCTCCATTATCCGCAAACATTCGAATTGGTTCTGCTAATTCCAAAGCCATTTGACCAAATTATCCTCCCCCTCATTTCGTTTTGAATTAAAGTGTCCATAACGTCCGTTTCTACTAATTTCTGATGTAGTAGGTTCTGCGAGTACAAAGACGTTTACACTTTATCCACACGCGTTAAATCAGCAGCACAACACAAACACTGAATAAGATATACCTTGGAAAAAATCTAAATCTCAAACACCAAAACCAAAATAAGACACTATAACCTCTACATACACGTTCCCAATCGCTATCGCTACGTATCGGGAGCGCTTTGCTACGTCCGCTGAATGCGACCGTTGACATTGGCTGCAGTGGCGGCTCGTACAATAAAAATGCGGGGGTTGCAGAGGTGGCTATAGAATAAGGCAAATTTTAGCAGATGCAAACTTATCGATAACCCTCTGAAGTCAGGTATGCTTTCGATAAGATTCCTTAAAAATATTTTTTTTTCGTTTGAGGGACGAAAAGCACCGATCTGCTTCAGCTGAAGCCATAGGGATTGTTATTAACATTTTTATGAAAGTCTCACTTAGCTCGGCATTTTGAGAAATAAAATGAAAAAGTACAACGAGTCTGTGTCATAAATGACGCTCAAATTTGTACGTAGTGCTTGATCGATAAAAATGGGTAATTTTGAATTTTAATTTTTGAAGCCAACTTGTGGCATTATCTTGTAAAACAAGTTAGGCAGAATACAGAAGTATTGCTTCTAAGTACTTTGACATATATTCTGATGCTTGGGTAGTAGTGCTAACGTTTCTACTTTCAATTGGGATTTATCCAAGCTAGAGATCAATGGAGTCTATCTGGAGACACCTCAAAGTGCCCCCTGCCCTGCTCCGTTTGCCTCCAATTAGTTATTTTTATTTTTTGATTTTTGAATGGTACCACCTATAATAAATCTTTAGAAAACTTATAATACAAAAATAAACTCATATTCATACCCTAAAAGTTTTTGAGATTCTTCGTTAATTAAATTTTTTATGTTTTTTTTTTAATAACTACAATTAATCTAGGAATATTGCAATATTAATCGAAGGCAAATGTTAATAAGTTCTTACTAAAGTTTCCTCAAAGTCTCCTTTACACTGCCGCGTATAGGTCCCATAATTTTCAATTTTATTTTTGGTAATTTCACAACAATTGTTCCTGCACGGCGAATGGTACCACCTATAATACGCATTTCGGTACCTTCCAATAGAAAAAGGAGCGAAATATAAGAATTCGAAAATTGATTATCGAATTTGGCTCCAAATATTAATTTTTGAATTTTATGGCCCTCCCCTGTTTGATAGAGCAGCGATTAAAGTTAATTAAAATATACCCTAAAAATTTGTGTCTCCAAGGATAGCAAATAAGCGAAATATAAATATTAAAATTTTCAACGTTTTTCATTTAAAAAAAAATTATGTTTTGTTTTCATACCTACTTTATTTTATAATTATTAAAGGTAGGGGCCAGAATGTCTATCTTTGATACCTCAAAGTGTCTACTAACCCTTTCCATTTACTTCCAATTCATTTAAAAAAAAAATTATGACCCACTCACCAAAATCGTTACTGACAGCGATTGATACTGTCCGTAATTGCTTTTTTTTGTACGGTTCCGTAGAGAAAAGACCAAAGTATACATCCTAAAAATTTCAGTCTCCTAAGATTTTAAATAAGCGAAATATAAAAATTCAAAGTAATGACTATTAAGTTTTGAAAATTTTTTCATTGTTTTTGTTTTAATACCCACATTGCACTAAGATACTTAAAATAATTACTAAAGGGAGAAGTCAAGGGGTCTTTGAATACCTCAAAGCGTCTACTAACCCTTTCCCTTGCCTCCAATTGATTTTTAAAAAAATATTACGGCTCTCTCGCCAAAATCGTCCCTGACGCTATTTTTGGTGCTGTTCTATCTAGTATCGTCGCTTTATATCAAAAAAGGTAAAGGCTTCACTTTGCGACTCCTTCCAAAATTCATGTCTTAAACTTATTCATGGAATAAGGAGAGGAGGAGAGAATTACATTCTGCTTGCTTTTTGTCATAAAATTATAAACTTCAAATGTCCTACGTACTTATACATACGCATTGTATTCAGGACACATTAAATATCAGGTTTAGGGGAAAGATCACTCCACCATTTCATAGGACGGCAATGTTTGAGCGTAGTTTTACCTTTAACACTGCCCCGCTTTTTAATTCACTCCCACACGCATTCCGGCCATTGTCTGTCTCCCATTTTAAACGAAAATATAAAAAATTTATTTATTTACTTGTATAGGTTTTTCTAAATTACTTGCTTATATCATTTTTAGTTTTTTTTTTCATTTTTTTTTTAATATATTTTAAGTAGACTTCTTGGCCTAGGTTAAGTTTGTAAATTAATTAATTTCCTACTTGGTTAAGTGTATCAGGAAGTGACTCCTATGAGTTTCTCATCTGAACTTCGCCATTTCTCGCTATTCATTTGTAAAATTTATGTTCGAAAACAAAGACATTATTACATTGCTCTAAGAATGTTAAAATGCTTATTAAAGGTAGAATTTCCGTTCATCTTCAAACGGACACCCGTACTATAGTATTTTTACAAAAGGAAAACGTTAAATAAACAATTATTTCGGAAACTATAACAACTATAACAGCATTTTCAAAAATAAGTTTTCCTTTGAAAAAATTGACTTTTAACGTTTTTCCAATTTTTGTACTTCATTTTTGCTCACCCTATATTAATTTCCCCAAATGCAATATTTATTTTATCGAAAAGAGTTAGACATAATATACATCTAAAATTTTTGCTGCTAATGCAAAATTCAATTTAAATGAAAAAGCCAATCGAACGAAATACCCTGTATAAATGAAAAATTAAACATTAAAAAATCTAGTTGAGACTTATCTTATTTCGGACACCCTGTATATTTGTCTGACTTAATGCGGCCTGAAACAATGTATGAGATTCTTCAGTCCGTTCATTAAAGAAACTCGTGACCAAAGTGTCCTTAATACAACTAGTTGCATTGTATACTATTACGAGTTATTGTGACTAAATTTTACAATGTTAGGATAAGCGCGGTTTCTACTTTAAATTTCATTCCGCCTGACGTGTAATAATAAACACACTGTAAACAAAGTGTTTAAAACAGCATAAACATTTAACTAAAGTTACGGAAACTGAAATAAACATCACACGTAATTAACTGGTAATAAAGCTGAACAATTTTATAAAGTTAACGCGATCATTATCAAATTTTTCAATTTAGCGCTAATCCTAATTTTAACCTAATCCACTTGTCAATGAGAAACTATAAGTGGTCTTTAGCGACGGTTCTGACTTTTGTATAAGAAATTTTCAGCGTTTCTCTTTATAAATATCGCGAGTTTGTTCTAGTAAGCCTTTGCTTTCTTTTTTTAAAATGGCTGAGTCTGAGAGTCAACAAAAAAGGTGATGGCCACGATCTTTTGGGATTGTGTTTGTAGTGTTGCTGTGTATGCAACCATCGTAAAAATAAAATTCAAAATAACTCTTTCTCAATTCGTGAAATTATAAAAAATATTGTTTATAATCGACCAGGTGCACTGAGTGGTTGTATGTTTTAGTAAGTAGTTGTAAGATATTTTAGGGCCAACCTGTGTACCCTATGCCCCCTATATGTAAAAAGATTATTTTATGTAAAAGGAATTTTTGGCAATAAATATTATTAATTATTATTATTATTATAGATATTAAAAAAATATACGTTATTTTTGAAAACTTTACCACCCTGTATCTCAAAAGTTAAGACGTTTAGGATATTAGTTCATATGAAGTTTTCTTTTTAAAATGGACCCAAAAACCGCCTCCTTCACTATTGATATTCAATTAGAAAATACCTTGCATAACAAAAAATATAAAATTTAAAATATTTCAGACTTACGTATAGGATATTACATATGAAGTATGGTTGTAATATCAATTTTAAACTCATTTTTGTATAGCGCCATCTAGCGTTATTTTTGTTAATTTTACGGTGTTACGTCAGAGGACAGGCAACTAGGGATAGTTGGTTGGGTTTTTTGGGGACGCTCTCTCTGTGGGTTTTCGAAAGGGAAGTTCCCCAGAAGTTATACCTATACCAGGAGCAATCCGCAATCAGTGAATCTAACTAACCAAAATATTTTGGTCTGTGAGTTTTTTTTTAATATTTTTAAAAGATTCTGAGATTCTAACCTAGCCTAACCTAACCAATACTGTCAGAATTTGTAATGCACAGAAGCAAAGCTTAGTATATGATATAATATTTTCGTACATATGTATTTTCTGAGCTTATTTTTTTAAAAACAAAAAAGGTTGGGCAAATGTAAGAAAATATAGGGTGTGTCATTTGAAATTGAAAATTTTCCGTCGTTTCCGCTCAAGCCGGTCTCGAATCAACTCGGACTCACTTGCTGGTGTTGTTCTGGTCCTGCACGTGTTTCATGTAGATGCCGTAAGGGCTCGTGACCAAAATGGCGAATATCCATATGATGACGATGATGACGATGCAGGTGGAGAGCTTCATGCGCGGATGGAACGGGTAGATGATGACGAAATAGCGATCGATCGCGATCGACATCAGCGTCAGCGTGGAGATGTAGACGCTGGCGCCCTGCGCGTAGGGCACCAGATGGCAGATCACCCTGCCGAACACCCACTTGCCCAGGAACGTGTAGAGGGGCGTGAAGGGCACCGCCAGCACGCACAGCAAAATGTCGGACAGCGCTAGGTTCGTTATGAACAGGTTCGTGACGGTTTGCATGGCCTTGTTGCGGAACACCACGAAACACACCAGCACGTTACCGAAGAGTCCGACCACGAAGATCGTCGTGTAGATGACGAAGAAGAGCACCTGGACGCCCTTCTTGTCGATGATGTCCAGCGTGTGCGCGTTGGTTATGTTGATGGTTTCGACGATCGCCATGTTCAGCGTCTGATGCTGACTGCACTGACCATCGCGGCGATCAACGACTGCAAAACATCGAAAGTGCTAATTGAGCGCACAAACGGGACAGCGAGGTGTGCGGGTTTTAGCGCCTTTTATTGCGGTCCGACGTTATTGATTCGTTATTATTTATGTATGCGTTTTAATAATGGATATGGCTTGCTTTAGAGTAAAATGTATACGGGGCGTATCGAAAAATGGTCTTTCACTTAGGTACATTTGGTAGTTGGTAATTTTGTTATGAATGGAGATACAAACAATTGAATGTAAAGTTTAGGAAAAAACGAAGAAAATACACTCTTTTTAAATGGAACGTCTAGTATATTTTTTACTCTAACGTTCGTAAATCGCCAACGGAACGTAATGCTACCCTAAAACTGAAAATAACCGAATTGTTTCGAGTGGTTTCGAAATAAAACTCCCGTTTCCCTTTTATTGTTTTATTTATGCAATTTCCTTCATATGTTATAAAAAAAATTCATCTTCTTCTTCTATCAACAATGCAGAAAAATTTGTGCCAAGAAGGCTGTGCAAAATAATACGAATACGAATAGCTTATTAATGTCACTATCACAGATGATTTACATACGTCATAAAATGCACCTGGTACGTTGTAATCGAAATAATTCATCAAAAGCATCAAAATGCTGATGGATTAAAAATCGTCTGACTGTTTGTACATTTCAAATAGTCAAATTTCAATTTATTAACAGCAAACACACACACACACACACACATATATATATATATATATATATATATATATATATATATATATATATATATATATATATATATATATATATATCATCCGTTCGCTCGTTGAACTCCGACTGGAATCCTGCAAATCCTGCATCCGACTGGAATCCTGCAGACGTTTCGCCAAAATCTCACTTGGCAGGCTTGTGAGCCTGAAGGACCGAGCAATTAATGTATTTGCCACTGCCTGTATCTGTGATGGGTGGTGATGAGATTTAGCGTTCAGATATCTATTAGTGTGTGTTGGTTTTCTATAGACAGTGTGTTCCAAGTGCCCAGCTTCGGTCCTTGTGATGTGCACATCTAAAAAGGGCAGACTGTTATCCTCAACAACAACAACAGCCGCCGCAGAGAGTGCAGGACGAGACCCAACGAAGATCGATCGCTGTCCTGCCATACATCAAGGGGGTTACTGACAAAATCGGCCCAATATTACGGAAACACGACAAATCAACGGCATACAAACCTGACCATACCATCGGAGCAATACTAAGAAACCCAAAACAAAAAATTACTCTGGAAAACCAAGGAGTATACAGTGTAGCATGCGGATCGTGCAGCCTGACGTATGTAGGACAGACCAACAGAAGGATTTCAGCCAGGCTCGAGGAACATCGTTTAGCCATAAGAAACAAACAAACAACATCTGCTTTGTTTCAGCACCAACATCAGACAGGCCATAAAATTGATTTCGGCACTTGCAAACAAATAGCTAATATTCCTGATTTTAGGACTAGGATTATACGAGAGGCCATCGAAATAGAAAAGTCCGGACACCTCAATACGAGAGACGACGCTCTGCATTTATCCAACACGTGGAGAACGATAATCAAGCAGCAGAGCGATGCGCAGCAGCCAACGGGGACATGCAACTACGATCGGACGAAATTAACAACGCGACAATTCAGGGGGCGGAGCCACCTCGCCCCACGCACAAGCAGCACCGTTACCATCTCCGGCGCAGAGTATAAATACCACACGCACCGCCGATAACCTCCCAGTGTTCGAAGTGTTTTCGGAGCGCGAGCATTGAAGATGCCAAGTGAGATTTTGGCGAAACGTCTGCAGGATTCCAGTCGGATGCAGGATTTGCAGGATTCCAGTCGGAGTTCAAGGAGCGAACGGATGATATCCCGGAATATATATATATATATATAAATATATATATATATATATATATATATATATATATATATATATATATATATATATATATATATATATATATATATATATATATATATATATATATATATATATATATATATATATATATATATATATATATATATATATATATATATATATATATATATATATATATATATATATATATATATATATATATATATATATATATATATATATATATATATATATATATATATATATATATATATATATATATATATATATGCACAAAACGGTAGTCGTGACCGGCTAGTTGAACAACAAATTTTAGTTAATTGGGGTATCGGTCCTGATGAGGGCTCCTGTAAAATACACAAAACGTTTGTTTGGCCGAATTACCGCGCATAGTTTTCGCGTGTTTGCGATTGGTAACCCCCACTACATTGCTGCAATGGACATGGTGTGGAGAAAGAAAATCCGAGAGGCCTCGGGGGTCTTACACTAGAGTGCACATAAGGTAGGCCGTTTATTTTATAATTCGAGGGTTTATCCGTAGTTTTGTTTTGTTTGTGATCAAATTTTAAATTAAGAATTTATTTCGATGAACTTGTATACTATTATTCCACACGCGGCTTCTAAAAGGAAGTCTAGGAAACATTGAGTCTCTTACACATGTGTATTTTACAGGAATGGGGTTTTTCCAATAAATAAAAGCTCGATATGGAAACGAAGCAGTTTTACTGCTCAAACAATGGGCCAGGCTCGGTGTAGCACAAAAGCCTTTTATTTGAGCCCTCATCAGGACCGATACCCCAATTAACTAAAATTTGTTTATATATTTCCTAAAGTTTAAAAAATTCGACGCCTGCAAAGAGCTGGGCGTCGCGACGCGTCGAAAAATTATTCGATTGCAGAGACTTTGGAAATACGCGCATACAAAAGTACATATTATTTAAAAACTTTTTTGTTATTTACTCAAACTTATTTACTTTACCCGTTTCTTGATTAAGAAAAAATGTGATTAACGCTTATTTTTACAAGTATGCCATGAATGTTAGTTACTATGACAACCATTGTTATCGCAGTTGTTTTAAGTGCAACTACAAACAATAGATTTCAACTATTTTAGTATGATTTTATTTATTATTTTTTATCGATTTAGTTCTGACATGATAAATAAATGAAAAAACAGTAAAATACCTACAAGTTAATAACCAAAATTATTATTGCAATTAACTACATAATAAGACATTTCAAAATTTTGTTCAAAATTATGTCCATCTGCTCGAACACAACTATCAAAAACTTTTAACAGATGAGCTTGGGCCACTTGTAGGAGAGTCCTTCTTGTGATGGCGGCACACGCTGCACTAATTTTGTTAATGAGATCGGCCATATCTTCGATAGGTTCTTCATAGATAACGTTTTTTAGGTAGCCCCAAAGAAAATAATCTGGTGGTGTAATGTCCGGGGACCTCGCCGGCCACATTACCGGTCCATTAGTACCAAACCATCTATTGGGATATTCTCGGTTCAAATACCTCGTTACTATTTGGGCATTATGTGCAGGCGCTCCATCCTGCTGTAGCCACATATTCATTCTAGTGTCAAGAGGCACTTCTTCTAATAGTTCCGGAGGTGTAGTTTGAAGAAATCTTAAATAGCGATCTGCATTTAAAGTTCCTTCGTAAAAGTAAGGTCCAATAAGGAATCCATTTAATATGCCGCACCAAACATTGATACTAAAAATTCGTCGGTTACCTCTTTCTGTAATCCAACGAGGATGGTTTTCGGACCAAAAACGACAGTTGTGTCTATTAACGATTCCATTATTTTGAAATCGACTTTCGTCGCTCCATAAAATTTTCGAGAGAAAATTTGCATCTTGGCTATACAAATCGGACAATGTCGCTAAGAAATACATTCTTCTAGCATAATCGCCTGGTTCTAGTTTATGAACTAGTTTACTTTTGTAGGGGTGAAAAGAGTTTCTATGTAGAATTCTCCACGAAGAACTTATGGTAACACCGGTATTTTCTTTTATCTCTGATAGGGATATCTTGGGGTTATTATCAACCTGCTGAACTACAGCAGCAGTATTTTCATCATTTGTAGCCGTCCTGTTCCTATCTCTTTTAGGTTTTATGAAGCTGCCATATTCTCTTAAGTTTTTACATAAACTTGAAAAGGTTTTTGCATCGGGGACTCTTCTATGCGGATAACGCCGTGCGTAAACTCTTTTTGCTTCTCTACAATTGCATCTGCATTCTCCAAACACCAGTAACATGTCTACTTTTTCCTCATTGCTAAATTGCACCATTTTCACATAATGATTCTTAGTTTTTTTTTAACCGAACAAATTTGGATATTTCTTGTGACAAAATGTGACAATTTTTTGATACAGCAATAACAACTTACGTTTGTAATTGCACTTAAAACAACTGCGATAACAATGGTTGCCATAGTAACTAACATTCATGGCATACTTGTAAAAATAAGCGTTAATCACATTTTTTATTAATCAAGAAATGTTTACTTTAAATCGGTATAACTTAGAAACGGGTAAAGTAAATAAGTTTGAGTAAATAACAAAAAAGTTTTTAAATAATATGTACTTTTGTATGCACGTATTTCCAAAGTCTCTGCAATCGAATAATTTTTCGAAGCGTCGCGACGCCCAGCTCTTTGCAGGCGTCGAATTTTTTAAACTTTAGGAAATATCTACTTGACCCCACACTTTGACTACTTTTTACATAAATTAAATATTTCTGTTCGTTTTGGACTTATTGGCGTGCGGAGTTTTAAGTGAAAAACCCTGTATATATATATATATATATATATATATATATATATATATATATATATATATATATATATATATATATATATATATATATATATATATATATATATATATATATATATATGATGACACTATATTCCGGGATATCATCCGTTCGCTCGTTGAACTCCGACTGGAATCCTGCATCCGACTGGAATCCTGCAAATCCTGCATCCGACTGGAATCCTGCAGACGTTTCGCCAAAATCTCACTTGGCATCTTCAATGCTCGCGCTCCGAAAACACTTCGAACACTATATATATATATATATATATATATATATATATATATATA